TATGCGTTATGCTTTTATTATGAGTTTAGTACTAGATTAGAAGCAAATAAATTATTTGATATTATTTTTTTCTGTTCTTAAATTTCTGTTAATGAATTTTATTTGATTGCAATTAATAAGTATAGCAAGTTGTCTTTTTTTATAAAAATAATTCAGTAAAATTATGAAAATTTGACCCATTATACTTTGTTACGAGAATACATTAGGCATGACCATATTTTGATTTTTTAAACACGAATCAATAATCAAACGAGTTAAAACTAGCATCAAACCATGATCAACGATTTTTAATTTTAAATTGTAATGACAATTATATATTTGCAAATCAAGTTCGTTTTTTCATTATTAAATTGGAATTAGTGGCTTTAATTTACTACCGTGGAAAAAAAAATATTCAAAGAAACTCTTGGAGTATATTTCCTTGCAGAAAACTGAAGTAGTTTCTTAGAAAAATTTTTCAAGAAAATTGAAAATTGAGTTTTGCGTGAAAATTATTCAGTTTTCTATTTGAAAAACTATAAAAAAATTTTAAGTTTTCAAAATCTAATTAAGATTTTGAAAACAATTTTAAGTTATTTTCTACAATTTTTCTTTATAACAAAAAGACATGTTTTTCGATTTTAAAAAATGACATTTTCATAATAAAAATTATAATATATATAAATAATATAAATTAAAAAAATTAATTTATTAAAAAAGTACTTATGTCAAGTTACACAAGGGTCATATTTATTATATAATATAAAATGTACCCCTTTTAGAAAATTAGATAAATTATAAAAATAAAACATACTTTTACAAAGTTGGATCAATTACAAAACAACAAATACTTTCATCAAAATTTATACACCAATGATAAGTGCTATAAATCTCGTAATAAATTCATATTTAAATCCATGTACTTGCCTCAAAAGGTAAATGTCAAAGTTTGGCTATTATTAATTTATATTTTCCTCAATACTAAAAATAAACATGAAACAAGGAATTTTCAACCTATCAAAGATAGTAAAAATTGGCTTCCATCACCCTACGGAAGACGGTGAAAATTTACCCTACATGTCTTACCTTGATTTTGCCCTAATTGAATTCACCTTCCCATTCCTGTAACATATATATAACACTAACAGCAAGAACTCCATGAACCTAACGAACCCTATATCCCAGTAATATATTATCCAACGGACAAGATACCATTACTATTGTTCAATGAAAATTTTAAATTTAAGACAAAACTTCCACATTATGTCCATCCATCAACAATTCTACATAAGGAAACATGTTGAAAGGACTACAATACACAAAATTCAAGTCCAAGAACTACCCAAAGAGAAATTTTCAATGGACAAAACTGCTAAAATATGTTCTCCATAACAACCAAACAACAATAGAACATCCAAAGCGCCAAAGGGGGGGGGGGGGGGGTAAATACTGTTTCTCCATAACCAACCAAACAACAAGAGAAACATCCCAAAGCGCCAAAGGGGGGGGAGGGGCGGCGCGGGGACCTTTCTATATGGGGGGGGGGGGGGGACTTTCTATAGTCCATGACAGTACACTAGAAAGTTTGTCTTTTATGAAGCCAGAGCCTGTGCGAGCTATGTTATATGAACGAGTAATACATGTTCATATGTGTGTGAAACAAAAAGGGGCTTCTATCGCACCGGCTGCTGATTGTAATGGTTCTTCTCTTTCTTCTTTGCTGCAGCAAGCCTTGCACTTCTTGCAGCAGCCTCTTGAGCAGCTGCCTTTGCAGCAGCATCCATCTCTTTACTAGACTTCTTCTTCTTCGCAGATGCCATTCTCTTTAGTCGCTCTTTCACATCAATAGTGGAAGAATCCTCATCTGCCTGCTCAGTCCCAGCAGCTTCATCTGGCCCATTGTTAACTTCGGAAAAGGTAGACTGCTCCTGAGGTTCCTTCACCTCCTTTGATTTATCCTTCTTCTTCTTCTTCTTAGCACTTTTGGATTCTCCAGCACTTTCCTTCCTTTCACCCTCTGCACCACTAGGCTCTGGATCTTTTCTTTCTTGCGCAGCATCTGCACAAATTCATTTCCAATGGATTTCTTGCTTAGAAATAGTACCAATAATAAAGCTAATATTTGAAGCTACACAAATTTACCTCCATTTTTTCTCAAAAAAAAAAAAAAAAAAAATTTTTTCTCAAAAAAAAAAAAAAAAAAAAAAAGAGAAGGCCGAAATGGGGCCTACTGCTCTACCCTATAAAGATATTTAAGGCAAATACAACAAGAATCACAAGGCTTAAAAAACAGCTTTGATGCCAAGACAGTTCATTTTCCCAATAAAGCTATTTAGAAGTATGCCGAAGAATCACAAGTAAAACACATTTGATGCCAGAAGTCAAAGGAAACTAGTTTCATCTGTGTTATAAGCATATTTTGCAACGCTTTGGCAAAAAAAAAAAAAAAAAAAGAGGCGAATGGGCCTACTGCTTCATCCCTATAAGATATTTAAGAAATACACAAGAATCACAAGTTAAAAACAGTTTGATGCAAGAAGTTATCCCAATAAGCTATTTTAGAAGTATGCGAGAATCACAAGTTAAAAACAATTTGATGCCAGAAGTCAAGGAACTAGTTCATCTGTGTATAAGCATATTTGCACGCTTGGTCACATGCACAAAAACATGCGTGCACCAATTTCACACACACACACACACACACACACACACGAAAAACACACACAAAAGGAGGGAGGGGCAAGGGGGAGGGGGGAGAGAGAGAAAGAGATACCACAACTCACTACCAATCTCCCTAAATCAACAGCTTGTAAGTAACACTTGACTTTTGACTCCACACACATATTATACATTTACAAATGCAAATTCGCACAAACATATATATAGATAAAGAGTTTCCAATACATAAGCAAACTGTAATGAGCCCAAGATACGAACATTTTTATCATATAAACTTACCATGTGACTCATCTTGGCCATTGCTCTCCTTCTGGGCCACTCCAAAATCAGCTAGAAGGGCCTCTAGCTCTGCAAGCTCCTTCTTCTTCCTTTCCTTCTTCGAAAGTTGCCTTTCTGTCTCCTTCTGCACCACAGAAACTTCAGAAGGCTTCTTGACTGCTGGCTCAAGGGGCACTGGAACCTCTGGTTCATGGTCATGGTCATGGTCATGGTCATGCTCATGCTCATGCTCATGGTCTTCATCTACTTCATCGTCACCTTCATCTAAAATATCTTCTTCACTCTCAGTTTCCTGTAGTTGCACAGATAATATGTAAAAAAGATATTAAAGAAATTCCATCATTCCTTAGGATAACTATAGCCATCTCTCCAGGTACTGTAAGAGACTGGCAAATAGATATAGACATTTAGAAGTAAAGACAACTAAAAAAATATTTTAAAAAAATGACAAACATAAAAATTAAACAAACAAAAAACCTGGAATGGTCTGAATTTTGCGGATAACCTCACATTCTAGAAGTTCAGCAAGACATGATTTAGGAATTCTATTCACATCAAATAGATACTCTTAAGATAGACAGCCAATTAGAGGCCTTCCATTTAAGTGTGGCTAGAAAGTTACATAAGCACATGCACAGACATTTGAGTGATGTATTCTTACTCTTGATTAGGATCATCTAACAAAATCCATAATTGCATGCGAGGATTAAATGCCACCAAGCTCCCATTAAGCCTATAAATAGCAACTCAACTACCAAGAGACCAAATTTTGGGATTGACATTCCCCTACCACTTGAAGGATGAACATAAATATTACAAATGCAGCAAAAGGGGCTTATGTCCTTAAGGAAATTGTGCTATTTCGCTTTCAAGCTCTGGATCCAAAAAAATGACCATATCCTTTGCCAAATAAAAGTAAGAGATTGAGAGACGGCACAAGAAGCAAAAAATTGAGAGATATATCTCTTTCCATACTTAGTGGTTGAAAAAAGCAAAAAATTAGAGTAAAATACCATTTTAAAGTGAAGGATTATGAAAGGAAGTATCACGACAGAGAAGAATAGTAGGTTTAGCTAATTTGGAGAAGAAGAGGCTGAGGAAAATATGAAAAGGGCATGCAAACTTTTTATTTTTAACCAAACCACAGGGCATATATTTGGTATATTATTAGTTAAATGCCATGTAGTCATTTATTTCCATGTTTCACTAGCCCAAGAGAGAATAACACCACATGGTGGCTAGATTGGCTTCTCAAGTGTTTAATGCGTGTGAAATTGATAATTTGAAGGATATAATAGGTCGACCCTTTAGTTAAAGGTGCCATTCGGCTAAGATGACAAATTAAAGGGATGATTCTACCCTTTTTGGCCATCACACATATAATCCAAGGAGGGGAAAAAAAAAGAATCGAGTTCTTCACTCTATTCCTTTGCTTTGATATAAGAAATATCCTGGACATTTGCTCAACATAGATGTAGAAGTATCCCACCCTTCTAAAGAAAATGTCTACCCTCAAACTGTTCAAAAGTAGATCCAAAAAAGCACAACTTGAACCTACCGATAATCACCATAATTAGATAAATTTATCCAGAAAAACAAACAGAATTTACATGGATCACGACCCTGTGCCTCCTTTCTAATGTTTGAACCTCTACATTTCTTCAGTCCTGATTCACATTGAAAGACTATAAATAATCTAATATTTAAATCCAACAGCCCCCAAGTCCACAGATACTTGCTGAAAGTTGAATATTACAAGCACCTGATGCTTCATCCACCCCAAGCATCATAATTTAGTTAACTCTGTCGCACAGCATCATATAAACAACTAGAAAAAACATACAGAATTTGACACATAATGCGTAAGATTCATCCACTGGGGATCTTTTACCCACATCTGGACCTTCCCCTTTTAGGTTAAGAAGTTGAGAAATAAAATCAAACTATGCCAACGAAATCACTTAACCAGCTGTTCTGACGCTTAACAGTAAGCATTAACAACAAAGCATCAATATCCAACAATGCCCAAACAGGTAGAAAACCAAACATAAAATCTAGTATTAATAGTAACATAACCTGTTTAGAGTTTATCAACTAACATTACAGGCAACTATATAGAGAAATCCTGCTACTCACCTCTATGTGGGTGGGCTTATCATCAGTCTGCTGTGGCTCCGAAGAACCCCAAACAGGGGCTGCGGTGGCATAGTAGTCGTCATCATCTTCATCCTCCACATCAGCCCAAGATTTAGCATTGAGTGGAGCAGGAGCCCAAAATAATTCAGGAGCAGGCTCCTTCTGCTGCTGTTGCGATTGTGATTTAGAGGATCCTTTACCACTCTTGGATGAACCACGCTCCTTATCTGACTTCTTTTTCTTCCTCAGAGTCTCAAGCGCTGCAAAAACATTAGTGTTGTTGATCACCAATGATCCCTCGTCTCTCCTGCCTCCCCCAACCATCTCTCCCCAATATCAAGACCCAGTGAAAAGTATACAAGTGATTTAAAAATAAACGGAAAAAGTATAAATCCGTTAAACCTGGAGGACTAAACTGACAATTTGAGATAGTATTCTAACTATCAAAAAAAGTATTTGTATGGTTCGGAAAATTGAAGATCAGGAAGAACAACGGCTTATCTCAAAAATTCAAAGAAACAATATTTGCAAAATATAATTAACAAACAGAATCAACAAAATTCTTATAATAGTTATTATTATTGTCTTGGATTATATAGAATTTTCGACAAATCGAGGGTTTCGAAAGATCAGGTTCGGATATTAGGGTTTCTAAAGGAAGCGACGAAGAATTAGGGTTCCGAGGAAAGACCGAGACGGTGGCTAAAACTGTAGAGACAATACGCGAAGGCGGATAATAGAAACAAAAGAGGAAAATTAGGGTTAGTCTGGTTTTAGAGGTATTTAACAGTGGAGAAAGGAGAGATTGTAATGGCGAATGAAGGTTAGGGCTCGAGTTTTTATGGAGACAATGTAATGAGAAGAAAACGAAGGATTGATAGTATTTATACGGTTGGCTTTTTACAAGTCGGTGCCTATTAAATCTTTGATTTCACGGTTAATAATGTTACATTCTTTTTTTTTAGAACCACAAACAAAGTATAGAGATAAGGATTGAATATCCCATCCACTATGCAAATTTTAATAATTATTATATTATATATATACATATATATATAACACATAAATGGGAATGGAAAGGATTAGCATACGGAGAGACAAAAGAGAGTGTTATATTTAATTTGGTTAAAAAATAAAATAAAATAAATATTTTTAATACTCTTTTGCTCTGTTTATTTTGGTTATAAATATTTTATTTTTTACAATCAACTCAAAAAAAATATTTAATACTCCAACTTGATTAGACATTTTAATATTTTTTATAATAATAATATATTATGTATTAGATATAGTTATGAATAATTTCATATAAAATTTTGTTTTTTAATATATTTATCTTATATGTTAAAATTTTTGAATATAATTCTAATTTAGAAATTTCCAGTATAATTTAAATGTTATATTTTTATATTAGTAAACTATCAAAAATAATTTTTTTTATCTTATTCAATTAAATTAATTAAATTTTACAATTCTTCGTCCATCCCTTTGCTTAATTAAAATCTCTTGCTGATGTGATGTTATCGCTCCTAAAAAAAATTTAAAAAGAAATTATAAGATAAATCAACAGAATGATTAAATAGTAATATTAACAGTTTTTACTCAATGATTAAGATGGATTGATAAATGAGATATTAAATAATGTAAATGAGTATATTTTTATATATTTGACCATTTATATATAACATAGTAAAATTAACATTATATTAGAATTTCTAAATTGGCTTGCTGCCACTCAATTAAAGATTTATGTGCATCTTACCGGAGTACTGTTTTCACTATTCCAAGCCATTTCGACAAATTATGAAACTCTCTCCAACCAACTATGAAATTATTATCCACGTCATTAGTAAATTAGAATTTGAAGGGTTCAGTACAGTTTTCAGAACATATAATTGATTCACTGTCTTCACTTGATGATAATGTATAATTTCGTTAGATCAGCTCCAAACTCAAACATAAATAATATATATTTTTATCTAACAAACAAAATTGCCAAACCAATAAAACAAAAAAATATATATATAAAATATGGAGGAACACCTTCATGGAAAGGAGTTGAAAACATTGACAAACCTCACTGTAGAAAAATAAAGCCTTAATCCATGAACAATGATAGAGAAAACTGGACGAGAATAAATTTGAAAAGACACTAAGGTTGTAATCGATAACAGTTTTTTAAATAATTTTTAGTGTTTATTATTTTTTTATAGTGCTCGGTAACATAGCGTTTAATTCAATTTTTAGAGGTTAAGGTAGTGTTTTGTGAAAATTAACCTATGTAACATTTAGTTTTTAGTGTTTCGTGAAAAACTATTCAAATAGCTAACATTTAAACACTACTAAAACAACTAACAGCTATTAAAACAGATAATTTTGACAAACACATTCTAAAAAATGAGAAAAAAAAGAGAGAAAAACAAAAGGAAATAAAAAAGTGTAACCGCCTGTTAGACTATGTACTGATGTATATTTTGGCTATGTAAATTGAGTTAGTGGTATATTTGTAATTACATAATACTACACATGTATATAAGCTTATTCTAAACAAATAGCTAACATTTAACAACTACCTAACACACAAACAGCTATTTTTTAAAACAGATAATTTGACAAACACATTCTAAAAAAAATGAGAAAAAAAAGAGAGAAAAACAAACAGGGCAAATAAAAAAGCTGTTAACCGCCTGTTCAGGGACTATGTACCTGATGGATATATCTTTGGCTATGTACAATTGAGTTAGTTGGTATATTTTGTTAATTACATAATACTACACCCATTGTATACTAAGCCTTATTCTAAAATGATATATAAGCTTATTCTAAAGGAATACACGGGGAGCGGGATTTCCTATATGGTATCAGAGCTCGAAATTTCAAGCCGCTCTCTCTAAACCCTAGTTCTTTTCTTCATCTTTATCTCTTTTCTTCTCTTTTCTAAACCATGGCAGGCAAGCATGATTTTCATCCAGCCCTTGCTGTTACGAAATTTTATTCCAATCATTCTTGAGACTGAAAAGGGGCAATATTCCTCTTGGGCGGAATTGTTCAAAATTCATTGCCGTGCCTATAAAGTTCTCGATTTCATTATTCCACCCTTGCCATCTGATAAAGACAAGGAATCTTCTACAGCTACTGAAGTCGATCCAAGACTGCGGTCTCAATTGGATGCTACAGTTCTTCAATGGATTTATGGGACAATTTCTGTTGATCTTCTCAATACTATTTTGGAAACGGATTCCACTGCTCAAAACGCTTGGGATCGTTTGAAAGGTATTTTCCAAGACAATAAGAATTCTCGTGCCTTATATTTGGAAAACCAATTTTCTCATGTTCTGTTGGACGATTTTCCAAATATTTCTGCTTATTGTCAAGAGCTCAAAATGCTCTCCGATCAGCTTTCAAATGTTCAAATGTTGGTGCCCCTGTTTCAAACCAACGCCTTGTTCTTCAATTGATTGCTGGATTAAATGAGGCTTATGATGGTGTAGCAAGGCTTATGATGGTGGTTTTGTAGGCAACCACTAATTCAGCAAAGTTGACCCGTTCTTTGCCTCTCTTTTTATGAAAGCCGATCAACAATTGACTTCTTGAAGAAAAAACACGCAAGCGCTAAAGCAGTAAGCAGGCTGCCACTGCTTCTGCTGCCACTGGCACTGCACTTTTTACTACAGGTGTTACTGAGGAAAATTCTTCTTCTTCTCGTGTTGGAGGAAAATTCTTCTTCTTCTCGTGTTGCTATTTCAGACAACACCAATACTGCTCCTCGTAATTATACTGGGCAACGTAGAGGACAGTCTCGCAACCCTAATAATTATCGCAGGAGAGGCAATAATGGACGCGGCAGAGGACGAAATAATAATAGCAATCAGAATTCTGGCTGTAATCGCCAAGGAAATAATCAATCAGGTGGGCAGCAATTTAACAATAATTTTTCTCATCAGCAACAACCACCTTATTATCCTTGGTCGGCTTATCCTCCTTGGCCTGCATGGGGGCAGCAAGCTTGGGCTGTTCCTCCACCATGTCCTTATCCAACCACTGCTTGGGCACGCCCATCTGCTCGTCAACCTGGCATACTTGGTTCTCGTCCACCGCAGGCCTATACTGCATCTCTTCTTGGCATAGCATGCCTACGGACATGATTGCTTGCTATGCAAAAGTATGTCTCTCAGACTCCACCTGAAGAACCTTGGCTTCATGCAGACACAAGGAGCTACCTCCGCATATTTGACCATCTTCTTCGGGTACTCTCTCGTCTTATTTTAATCTTGACCCAGTAAAAATAATGATGTTATTGTGTGTTAGTGGACAGAATAATACAAAAGTGTGCAGGATATGCGGCATGCTTACCTTAAACCAACCCCACCTTTGGGCATGCTTACCTTAAACCACCCCACCCTCCTTTATGTTTATCTAATGTTCTCCATGCACCAAAAATAATTAAAAATCTAGTCTCTGTCCGTCGTTTTACTATTGATAATCATGTCACTGTTGAGTTTGATCCTTTTGGGTTTTCTGTGAAGGATTTATGGATGGGGAGTCTTCTCATGAGATGTAATAGCGTTGGGGATTTATATCCAATAACTAGCAGTTTTCCTTCAAGTCTCTCAAAGTCTTCACCATTGGCTTTTGTTACCTTGTCCGCTGATTTATGGCATCGTAGATTGGGGCACCCGGGACCTCCTCTTTTACAATATCTTTATAGAAATAAATTAATTGATTGTAATTTTTCTTTTTCTAATAGTTTCTCTTTTCTCAATAACGTTGTCATTCTTGTACGTTTTTGGGAAACATCAGCTAGTATTTACCTTTTTGTCAGACTCCGCAATTCCTTAATACTCTTATGGCCTTTTGAAATCTAATTTCATCAGTCGATGTGTGGACGTTCCCGCATATTGAGTTCTGCTGGTCTATAAAGTATATGGTGTGTTTTCTTGACTGGCATTATACCCGATTTTTATTGTGGACTTTTTTCCCATTAAGCCGAAAATCCACAAGGTCTTCCAAATTTTCAATTACATCTTTCTGTGTGCATCGAGAACCCAATTTGAAGTAAGAGAAAATCTAAGTGTTTACAGTGGTGACAATTGGCAAAGAATATGCATAATAATCAATCAAAAACAATGGTCATGTGAATGGTATGACGTTTTATCGATTTTCGATGTCCTTTACATCCTTCTCAAAATGGTCGAAAGCCGACGAAAGATATTCGCGCACCATAAAATAACATGGTTAGAAACATTAACTTTCTCAATTTCCATCCTCCTTCTTTTTGGCCTCATGCTTTGCCAAGATGGCTACTTATTTGATCAATATTCGTTCCTCACAAAGAATTTTTAATTTTTCATCTTCCTACATCCTTCTCCTTTATGCGGGTGTCCATAACTTTACAGTCATTTACGAGTTTTTGGGCTGTTTGTGTTTTGCCTTGTCTCCCTTCCTCACTCATTCATACCCTCTCCTACTATTCATAAACTCCAACCTCGTTCTACATCTTGTGTTTTTCTTGGTTATCCGACTAATCATAGGGGTTACAAGTGTTATGATTTGTCCACAAACAAAATCATTCTTTCTAGGCATGTTTCTTTTGATGAGTCAATTTTTCCCTTCGCTTCCGTCAAACCTCAGTTTCCATCTACCTATCACTTTTTGGATGACAGTGTTCATCCCTTATTACAATTTCATTTACAAAACTCCACATCTTCTCCACCTCCATTGTCATCTTCTCCTTCACCTATGGTCACGCAACCCGTCCCATCTGAAAATGTTTCTCCACAGCCACCACAACCTGTTACAACAACCTGTTACTATCACCGACTCCTCTCTGCTCCAGTCGAACCCATGACCACCCGCAGTATGCATGCATCACCCGGCTCCTAAGAAGCATTTTAAGGATGTTTGCTTCTTCGTCTTCTTCACGGCTACCGTAATAGCCCACTTGCTGCCCTAAATGATCCAGAATTGGAAGGCTTGCCGATGATTTGATGAATATGCTGCGTTACATTAAAAAATAAGGACGTGCGGAGTTGGTGACCCCGTCCTACCAATGCTAATGTGGTTCGGTCTATGTGGGTGTATTTTCGCATCAAAACTAATGTCTGATGGTTCTATTGAGCGGAATACAAAGCTCGTCTGTTTGTGATGGCAAGTCCCAACAGCGGTTGGTGTCGGATCTGTGATTGAGACCTTTCAGGTCCATGCTTGCGCTTTCAAACCGGCGTTACATTCGCACTGTTCCTCAGTCTCCTGTTCAAAACGGTGGTGCTATAAATTCTACATTTTGAGATTTGCTTCCAAAAATGCATTTCTGCCATGAGGAAATTTAAGGAGAGCGAGGTCAGAAGAAACATCGTAAAACAGGTAAGCATACAACGCTTTTGGCGATTTAAAGAGAATGTGTCTGTACCATGCCAGATTCAGGGTCGTTTGCCTCACCATTCGACAATCTTTGTATATCGGTTATAACAAACTGCTCCACAGCTTGCGGTCACCAAAGGTTTGCATGATTATTGCTCTTACTATTGTAATTTATTACACAGCAAATTGCTGAGATCATTCACTTTTCAATTTTATAGCAACGGGGACCTGATTTGGCGTATCTTCTTCTCTTATGTGTGATGTGTTGATGACATTATTCTCACCACTTCTTCCGAAAAGCTTCGGCTATCTATTATGTCTTTGATGTCTTCAGAGTTTGCCATGAAAGACTTGGGTCCTTTGAATTACTTTTTGGGCATCTCTGTTCACCGAAACTCCTCCGGTTTATTCCTTTCTCAGCGTAAGTATGCTGCAGAAATTCTTGACAGAGCAGGCATGTCTAGTTGCAAATCTGTCTCGACGCCTGTTGACACCAAGCTGAAACTCAGTACTGATTCTGGTTCTTCATATGATGATCCTCTCTTATATCGTCGTCTAGCTGGTGCTCTTCAATATCTCACATTCACTAGACCGGATTTGTCTTATGCTGTTCAACAAATTTGCTTACATATGCACAATCCAACAACGGCTCATATGAGTGCTTTGAAGCGAATTTTGAGGTATCTCAAAGGCACTCTTTCTTATGGTTTGCACCTTTCGAACTCCCCTTTTTCATGTCTTACAGCTTACTCCGATGCTGATTGGGGTGGTTGTCCTGATACTAGACGCTCCACTTCTGGCTATTGTGTTTTTCTTGGTGATAATTTTGTGTTTTTCTTGTGATAATCTGATATCTTGGTCTTTCTAAAAAGACAACCAACACTTATCACGCTGCAGCGCTGAAGCTGAATATCGTGGAGTCGCTAAGTGTTGTTGCCAAGAATCTTGTTTGGCTTCGCAATTTACTATTGGAGTTAAAGTGTGCCGATTAGCTTAGCCACAATTTGGTCTTACTGTGATAATGTGTGCAGTTTTTGTCTAGTTAAATCCGGTACAACATCAGCGAACTAAAGCATAATTTAGAGATGGGATATTCATTTTGTGCGTGAAAGGTTGCTCGTGGACAAGTCAGAGTTCAACCATACTCCATCCCGCGAATTTCAGGTGGCCGAATTTTTACAAAAGGCTTACACGAATCCTTGTTTGATGATTTCATGATCCAGTTCTTCTTCTGCGTTCGTGAAGGACCCTCCCGCGCTGACTGCGGGGGAGTGGTTAGAACTTAATGTACTGATGTAATATTTTGAACTATGGTAAATTGAGTTAGTGGTATTATTTGGTAATTAAACATAATACTAACATGTATAATAGCTTATTCTAATGAATACACGCGGGGGATTTCCTATACCGCCCATGAGAAATTCCACTGGTGGCTGACTATTCAAGAAGGGGAAAAAAAGAATTAAAATATTAAATAAGTGTTAGACTATGTACTGATGTATATTTTGACTATGTAAATTGAGTTAGTGGTATATTTGTAATTACATAATACTACACATGTATATAAGCTTATTCTAAATGAATACACGCGGGGGGATTTCCTATACCGCCCATGAGAAATCCACTGGTGGCTGACTATTCAAGAAGGGGAAAAAAAGAATTAAAATATTAAATAAAAATGCGAGAGTAGAACGTAGAACAAAAATATTTTAGAAAAAATAATTATTACATCCTTATATGTATTGAAATATGATTAGTCAGTCCCTGTATTTTTATAAATTTTTTTTAAAATTCTATATTTTCATTTCGTGAAAAATATTTAATCATTTTATCTATTTTTGCCAATTCGGCCAATAAATCAATAAAGACTAAAAATTAATGTTATCCTTCTGTATATTTTACCAAACAAATTTCTTCTTTATTGTCTTCGTTACCAACTCACCATTAACTTCATCACAACAACTTTATTAAAAACTACCAAAATATTCAAAATCAACAAAGTATTCATAATCAAAATAAAAAAAAAATAATAAAGGATGTATTCAATCAAAGATCAAAATAAAAAAAAAAGAAAACAAATACATCCAATAAAATATCTATTATTTATCTACTACTTTAAGTGCATCTCTCTATTTCTCGTTTGAATACTAAGCCTCGTCTCTGTATCCTATAGAAATTTAAATATGTATCTATGGCAAAGATAAATAGATTAGGAAAACAAACCACAAAATTCCCTAAGGACAAATGCTACAAACACAACAAATATACAAATAAGCCATAAACAAATACACTTCTGCCATGAAACAAACTTCAAAGTATACCGTAGAAGAAATAGGGAGGCATATACATAAACAAAACTATATTACCTCAAATGAATATGGAGATGCAAGGTTGAGGATACAAAATATATATATTTTCAGTGAGATTAATTGGGTATTTTGAGTAATTATGGAAAAGTTAGATGGTTGAACTATAGAAATAACAGATCAAAGAATGCCATAGCAGAAAAAGATTAACTGTTTATTCAACATAATTTGATCCAAAGAAGAAGATGAACTGACAAAAATACAAAAAGGTATTTCTGAATTAATTTTAAATTCTCTGTTTTATGATCTTTTTTTCACTTAACAAACAGAAAAAATTAGAAAAAATCAGACGCAAGAATTAATTTTTTTTGACGGAATGAAAATACAGAGACTTTAAAAAATATTTTTAAAAATATATGGACTTATTAGTTATGTTTTATAAATATAGAGATGTAATAGTAACTTTGTCTATATTCTAAAAAATATATCAAAATTGTAATTTATGGTTTCTTAAAGTGTGAAAAAATATTTATCGTATGAATTTTTGAATGAATTTTAAAATTTTGCTTTGGGTTAACTTTGCCAGCGGTGGTAGATACGTGAGTGGCACTTCAACCGCTGAATCCGAGCGGTTCTCCATCAGAGAGAGTACCTTTATAGCCTACTGTCCCACGAGTGGTTCGTGCGTTTTCTCAATGGCGCCTCTTAAGACTTAACTTAAAAGCCTAGTGGCATTCACGATATTTCATAAAATGCTGTGCCTTATTTGTTAATACGTAAAAGGGAAAGAACAATTATATTTTTCGTTTCCTTTCCCAAATATGCTTTTTTTCGTAAAACCAAGTCGCTTAACTGCCACACAACTCTCATATTAATTTAGAATCTGGGCCTTCCATGTTTCAACTTACTCATCCTGGCCGTAGATATATACCTCCTTTACCCCGAAATTTTCGATATTCATTTATTTATCATAGAACTTGGATTACCCAAACAAAATCTCAACCATACCTTCTGAATCTTACGGTCAGTAGTTTGACACGTATCTCAATAGAAATGAGTCGTTTATTTTCTATTTTGTAAATTCATCTACTTTAATTTTTATTTTTGTTATTTTCAATCTAAGCCCTCCCTCTTTGGAAACCAAAAGAAACCCTAGCTCTCCTCCTTCTCTCACGGTTTAAAAAAAAAAAAAATGGAAATTTCAAAAATTATCTAGAAATTAATTACTAAAATCAACAAATCTGTTAGGGTTACAATTCGAAATTCACTGATTCAAGCCCTATTTCATGTCTTATTCATGTAATGTTCACGGTTTGCTCGATAAATCAGAATTTGGGGGTGGTTCGAACCAGGTACTCATGCAATTTTCTTTTTATTGTTGTTAATTTGTCAATTTGGATTTCAGTTGATGTTATATTTGTTAGCTAGGGTCTTGATCATCGGTTTATGAGTCATTTATGGGGATTTTGATACTTGAGAATTTTTTTTAAGTGATTTTTTGTGTCATTATGGTTTTTACAGATCTGAAAATGTATGATGGGATTTGAAAATTGGGAGTTTCGGGTATTGGTGTTTGGACTGAGGCATTGTTGATGGAAAATAGAATAGGAAGTCCTCATGAAGCGGAAATTCCTAAGAAATCGAGATCTTTGGATCTCAAGAGTCTTTACCAATCCAAGGATTCAAAAGATGCTGGAACTAAGAACTTGAAAAGGAAGGGCAGTGTAGATGTTAGCGGTGTTGAGAAGAGACATGAGAGGAAGAAGAGTAGAAAAGCGGTTTCCATCAGTAGTTTCAGAAAAGTCAATGGCAATGGCAGCAAAAGTTTGGAGGAAGTGTATAATGGCAGTCTGAGTTCAGGTTCACATGATTCAAAAGATTTAAAGCCGGGGTCGAATCAACGTGTGAATGACAGTAGTGGGTTTAGTAGCATTTCACAAACTTTAGATGGTAGTTTTATCCAAATCCCTAGGCGCAAACGTGGTTTTGTAGGCCGAAGAAAAGTTGAGAATTTTAGTCAAGTATTGAAGCCTGCGGGGCTGTCTACTGATAAAGCAGGCGATGTTGACAAGCCTTCTAAGATTGCTGGCAGAGATGTGAAGGTTAAACAGAAGAAAGGCTCTGATGATTTTAAAGAAAACAGAAATGGTGAAACAAATTCTGGTAGGCATTTTGAGGAAAAAGACAAGCTTCCTGATCTTCCTGTTGTAAACAGTGGTGATTTATCTGTGAAGAAATCTCTCAATGGCCATTATGTTGAAAGTAATGGTGATTCATCTTCAAAAAAGTCACTGCGGAAACGGAGTAGGAAGAGGAAGGATTTGGCATCTGATGATAAGAGTGTCGCTAAGGAGGCTGAGCCATCGATTGATACTTCTGTTAAGAAGAGTGATGATTTGCAAGATGATGATGAGGAGAACCTTGAAGAGAATGCAGCAAGGATGCTATCATCACGGTTTGATCCAAGCTGCACTGTTTTTTCTTTGAATAGCAAAGGCTCTTCCTTGCCTTCTACAAATGGCTTGTCTTTTTTATTATCGTCTGGTCAGGAGTTCATTGCCCAGGGGTCTAACTATGTCTCTGGATCTGAATCTGCATCTGTTGATACTGCTGGTAGAGTATTGCGACCCAGGAAACAGCACAAAGAGAAGGGTAATTCAAGAAAACGGCGCCATTATTATGAAATTTTTTCTGGGGACTTGGACGCGTATTGGGTGTTGAATAGGAGAATTAAGGTCTTTTGGCCTTTGGATCAGAGTTGGTATTATGGCCTCATCAGTGAGTATGATAAAGTGAAAAAGCTTCATCATGTAAAATATGATGATCGGGATGAAGAATGGATTAATCTCCAGAATGAGAGATTTAAACTCTTGCTGCTTCCTAGTGAAGTACCAGGTAAGCCTCAGAGAAAAAGATCTGTGACAAGAGTGAAGCGCTCGAATGGTGAAAAGGGAAAATTGAAGCTCAGCAAAGAGAAGAAGAAAGACTCCACTACAGAGGATGATAACTATGTAGGGAACTACATGGACTCAGAACCCATCATCTCATGGTTGGCCCGAACTACTCATAGAGTCAAATCTTCCCCTCTCCGTGCCTTGAAGAAACAGAAAATGTCTAGTCGATCCTTGACGTCTGTGACTTCATTGTTGCCTGATGAAACTGTAAGCAGACACGACAGCTCAGGTGCAGGTTCTCAGAACAGGGATAAAATCAACTTACCTGGTAATTCTGCCTTTGCAGATAGATTTGCTGCCGGTGGAAGGATTGGTTTGTTTCCTACGGAAAGTCCCATCAATTCCAAAGATAGGAAGCTTCGTAATGATAACAAGGTTCCTGTTGTTTACTATAGGAGGCGATTTCGGAATGTGAGCAGTGTGCTACATAACACATGTAAAGACAATCATGTCTCCACTAGCTTACCAGACGCTGATGCTTCTCTTGGCCCTGTCATTGCTTCTGGAACTTTGGTAAAACAAGCTATTTCTCTGAGAAGATTGAATCCTGATGAAAATCTGGAAAGGTTGGATACTGTTGAGGTTTTATGGTTGAGTGATGTTAGTGGGCTTCTGAAAGTAAATGTTCAATTGGTTGAATCAAGACAGTTGTGGTTTCAGTTAAACCTCCCATTGGTTTCCATCTGTGATTGCTTGTTGGGCATGGATAATACTTGGTTCTTTCATATGTTATTACTGCTTCAATATGGTACGCTGATGACTATGTGGCCGAGGGTTCATTTGGAGATGCTTTTTGTAGATAATATTGTTGGATTGAGGTTTTTTTTGTTTGAAGGTTGCTTGAAGCGGGCAATAGGTTTTGTTTTCCATGTCCTTGATGTATTTCATCAACCTAGTGAGCAGGGAAAATATGCTGACTTGCTGTTGCCTGTTACTTCAATCAAGTTCAAATTCTCTTGCATCCAAGGTTTCAGGAAGCAGCTTGTGTTTGCATTCTACAGCTTTTCTGAAGTGAAGAATTCAAAATGGATGCACCTGGACTCTAGGCTCAAAAGGCATTGTTTGCTTACTGAGCAGTTACCTCTATCAGAATGCACTTTTGATAACATTAAGGCACTTCAAAATGGAACCAATCAGTTGGTCAAGTCTTCTGTTTGCGGTTATCCATGGAGAATTAAGGTATTTATTTTTTACACATGTATCAAGATGGGCTTTTAGATTTCACTTAAAGAGTTGAAAATCTGTTTCAGAAACTCCCACTCTCCAAATATGTGTGTGTGGGTGGGGCTGTGTATCTGCAATTTTCTGTATGTCTATCATATTCGCTTCCGTTACTCACTGTTTGCTCAGTTGCTGTTTTTCTTAATCCTTGCTCTTGGACTAATAGTCTGAGTGTTGAATCCGTGATACTTGATATTATCTCATCAAATAAATTGAGGCCAACAGCATTTGGTTGGTCATAGCACCCTTTTTCACTATTTCATATTTTTATGTATTTATGGTTATGGCTAAGCATTTGAAGCTGGTGATTCTTCTTCTTTTATTATTATTTTTTTTTCACACCAAGATTGGTCGTGCCGCTAATAATTGGTATTAACTGCTGTGAATTTACCATATTCAGGGTCCAATAAGGAGGTCTAGGCAGTGTACAAGTCTTGCAGGTGTCTCCAGAGATTCCACTTATGTAAATGCCAATTCATCTTCTGCATATTTTGACAAGTCAGATGGATGGTTCCCTCCATTTGCACTTTCTTTTAGTGCTGCACCCACTTTCTTTCTCGGTTTGCATCTTAAGCTGCTTATGGAACATAGTGTGACTCACATCAGCTTTCAGGATCATGTTTCAATAGAGCATCCAGATAATTCTGATAGTTTGCTAGACGAATGTTCTAGTGTGGAGGACTACTCAAACAAAGATTCAGAAATTACTTCTTGTAATAATTTCAAGGTTTCTTCCAGGGATGCTAATTGTGATGAATGCCTATCTTGTGGTAAAGCTGAGCCACAAGCTATTGGCATTTCTGCTAACAGTGTTGGAGATTGGATGACGTCCTCTCCAAATAACTTTAATAATGTTGCAAATGTTGGAGCTGCTGCCAGCTCCAAGGATCCTGGAAAATTTGCAAGTGATGCTATTGACGTGCCACAGAAGCAGTCATCGCATCATTCAGGTTCAGAACAGCAAGGCTTATCAGTGAAGCCAGCTGCAGATAAGTGTAGTACTGGTTCTCATTCCCTTCTGAATGGTATTACTGTTGAAATTCCACCAGTCAATCAATTCGATAAGCATGTTGATAAGGAGTTACATGGCGCCCAACAATCTACTGACTTGTCTTGGAATATGAATGGCGGCATTATCCCCAGTCCTAACCCTACTGCTCGCAGAAGTACCTGGCATCGAAGTAGAAGCAGTTCTACATCTTTCGGATACCTTGCACATGGATGGTCAGATGGAAGGGGCGACTTTGTTCATAATAATTTTGGCAATGGACCGAAGAAGCCACGAACTCAGGTATCTTATGCATTGCCTTTTGGGGGTTTTGATTACTGCCCAAAGAATAAAAGCCATTCTCAGAAAGCGGTTCCACATAAACGAATTAGGACGGCTAGCGAGAAGAGATCATTGGATGTTTCTAGAGGTTCTGAAAGAAACTTGGAGTTGTCTTGTGAAGCAAATGTATTAATCACACATGGTGATCGAGGGTGGAGAGAAGGTGGGGCACAGGTTGTGGTAGAGCTTTTTGATCATAATGAATGGAAGCTTGCTGTAAAAATTTCAGGCACTACAAAGTATTCATACAAGGCACATCAGTTTCTGCAGCCGGGGTCAACGAACCGATATACACATGCAATGATGTGGAAGGGAGGAAAGGATTGGATATTGGAGTTTCCTGATAGGAGTCAATGGCTTCGTTTCAAAGAGATGCATGAAGAGTGCCACAATCGGAACATCCGTGCAGCACTAATTAAAAACATTCCTATTCCTGGTGTTCGCTTGATAGAGGAAAATGATGATGGTGGAATTGAAATTCCATTTTTGCGGAGTTCATCTAAGTACTTTCGGCAGGTTGAAACTGATGTTGAGATGGCTTTGAATCCATCAAGGGTGCTATATGACATGGATAGTGATGATGATCAATGGATGTTGAAAAATCAAACTTCTTCTGAAGTCGCCGCGAGCTGTTTGTGGGAGATCTCTGAGGAAATGTTTGAGAAGACAATGGACATGCTTGAGAAGGCTGCATATTCTCAACAACGTGATCAATTTACATCAGATGAAATTGAAGAGCTCATGGCTGGTGTGGGCCCATTGAAAGTAGTGAAAATTATATATGAGCATTGGCAGCAGAAAAGGCAGAGGAAAGGGATGCCTTTAATCCGTCATCTCCAGGTTCCTTCTGAATTTCTTTATATTCTTTTTTTGTTTATATGTTGATCCTAAGAAATGCATGGCATCATTTTTGAGCTTATTCGTTGTAAATGATAATTGAGGCTAGGTCCTTGGCAGAAAGGCTGATTGTTCAGTCGTGCCAGAATGATCGGGTTTATAATATTGAAATAGTTAGTTTTGAACTACATTTGACCTTTATCTCCCTTACCTATTTCCTATTTTCGTTAAGCATGATAGGTCCCAAAGTGGTTTTAATTCGCAAATTTATTTACCAAAACACCTCTGCAGAAAGTCTTGATTCTTGTCTATAACTTGTTTATTATTGCAATTATTATATTTAAATAATTGGTGGGTTGTATCCAGATAAGAAGTTAGCATGGATGATCCTGTGATTGAGTCAAAAAAGTTGAAGTTATGGAAGATGTAAATAAGGAAAAAAATTAAAAGAGGTGAGAAGGGAATGAAGAATCAAATTCATGGGGAGAAGGGAGCATGCAGGGACTTCATTGACTATAACTAGCTAGGACTACAACTATAATATCATCTTTTATGTTGACCTATTTTTAAACCCTAAACTCTCAATAAGTACTGAGATTTGGCTCTATGGTACGAAAATTTAGATGGATATGCTAGAATATTTGAATAACAAATGCATTGTTTGAGTCCTAATACAGATATAATCTGATAAGTTCGAATTTGAATAATGGTCATGCATTGTTTGAGTTCTATTACAGATGTTGTCAGATAAGTTTGAATTAATGGTTATAACTCATGCTTGGATAGTAGGTTCAAAATTAATACCCTTCAATTGTACAATGACTGACTCATGATTTGGGTGAGGATGTTTGATGGTGTGCACATCAGTATGTAAAATAAAAACGCGTGACACCTCCCATAGCGGCATCATATTCTTTGTCTCAAAAAATTCACTGTTTTGTTCTGATTTCCATTTGGTAAAGAGTGATGGATTGTTCCTGTATGATGTCAAGAAAATTCACTAGGTTTTTCTGACTTCCTTTTGGTTTTATCTTCACCATATAATGTGCTTGTGCACTGATTATCTATGCATCCTCCCTACCCGTCTTTTAAACACCCCCCCCTCTTCCTCTTTAAGCACATTCTGTCTAACATGAATTTTTTTTGCCGGTTGCATGGGCTTTCTTCAGCCACCGCTATGGGAAAGGTATCAGCAACAGGTGAGGGAGTGTGAGCTAGCAATGGCTAAATGTAACACTGCCCTCCCTAATGGATGCCATGAGAAGGTTGCAACTACTGAGAAGCCTCCCATGTTTGCTTTCTGCTTGAAACCACGGGGGCTGGAAGTGCCTAACAGGGGATCCAAACAGAGGTCTCAGAGAAAAATTTCAATGTCTGTTCAAAACAATAACTTCCCAGGAGATCATGATGGTTTCCATGCTTATGGTAATTTTCCTTGTCGTTCTGCATTTTATTGCTTTCTTTCTCCCATTTGTTTTAGCTCATTCTAGCAAACTTTCTCCTTGGTTCAACTGTTTTGTTGCATCCAGGAAGAAGATTGAATGGATTTGCTTCTGGTGATGAAAAATTTGTGTATCAAGGACATAACTATGAACCTTTAGATGATTCTCCATTGTCTCAGATATCACCAAGGGTTTTTTCACCTAGGGATACAGGCGGCAAAGGATATTTTTCAATGAGCGGTGATCGGTATGATAGAACTCATATTCATAAACTTTACAGGAACAAGTCAAAGAAACCCGGAGCGTTTTTGTTTCCTAATGATGCTCAGATGGTTGCTTCATATAATCGGAGAATGTTTGACAAGAGAAATGGAGTTAATAGGTGGAATATGGGCTTTTCTGAGTGGCGAAGCCAGCGGCACTACCACTTAGATGGGCCTCCAAGCCATGGCCCTGAACAATTTGATAGTTCTGATCTTGATGAGTTCAGGTTGCGTGACGCTTCTGGTGCAGCGCGGCATGCACTTCATGTGGCTAAACTAAAGAGAGAAAGGGCTCAGAGATTGCTCTATAGGGCAGATCTAGCCATTCACAAGGCTGTGGTTGCCCTTATGACTGCTGAGGCAATTAAAGCTTCTTCTGAGGACATAAATAGTGATGGGTAGAATTAGAAAGCAAGATGAGATGATAAGGGTAGGGAAAATCTGCCAACCCTTCACCATGTGTTTCTGCAGCCAGAGAATCCAGTTCTAGAATTGAAATTTTTTGCTGGAGCATTGTGATGTTTCCTTTCTCCATGGTGGTGGTGGCCTCTGTTATGTAGCACTGATTCCAGAGGACTTATAATTGGAGGGTTATTGCAGGTGGAGGGGAGAACTTTTTTGCTTCTGCCTCCTTACGTTGTCATTGTTGTGACATTTTTGGTGTGACTTCACGGTGTTTCTGTCCACTAGTGTCGTTTTGGTATCCAAAGGAGCAGGTTCACATGCACGGACCCTGAAGGGGTGAGGGGTGTTTGGAATTTTGGCTACCGGTACCGGTCTTTGTACAGATTTTTTCCCCTCCTCTTCTCTTTTTTTTCTTTTTCTTTTCTTTTCTTTTTTTTTTTTTCAGTCTTAACCTTGATATCATAGTAGCAGTTGGCCAAAATAATACAACACCCCTATGAGTTGAATTACAAATTCCTGTCTGATTGAATGTTGGAGCATTCACTAGATAGATATGTGACAATGAGAACATGTCTCTTGAAAAAGAAGAGGGAGGATGCTGTAAGTAAATGATCTTATAAATTTTCATACAGATTTATTGAAGGCTCAGAATCTGTTGAAATTTCCTTCTCCTTGTATATTCTTGGCAATATTTTAATTGTCTTAAATCAGCAGATAAATTTTGAGAAGTTTCTGGCTACTCATTCTTATTTGCTTTCTTATTCTTGTCATTTAATTGCAGTATAGTTGCTTGGAAAAATATAACCATCGACTACAGATATGGACAGAAAACTTGACAGGTGAAGCTAGTTTAGATTCATTCATTGACAGTGACGATTATTTTGTGAATGATTTTCCTATTGTACATGTGTCGGCACCCTTTTAATTCTCAGATGTTTGCTTTGTGTAAAAAAATGACGAGCACAAACATCTTAACATTTTCTACAGGGCGCAAGTGCTATATATGTGTGTGTGTATGCCATTAAACTTATGTTACCTCTTTGTATTGCACTTTGATAATTGCAGTTGTGAGAGTCATATTGTCCTTTGTTGCTGTATGAATTGGATGATAATATTTAGCTGTTGGGTTTCTTTATAGTCATTGGCGGTGATATGAGAGTGATTTTCCAGGCCATTAGGACTGCTGTTGTTTCAGATCAATCAGTAGCACTAAATTGCCATGTTATTTTATTTTATTTCTTCAGGTTTCCCATTTTTTTGAGATAATAGATTTTCTTTCATCATCTGTTTTCCCTCTAGTTACTCAGAATGTTAAATTCCACTGAGATAATATATTTTGATGTGAACGGAACAATGTTAAATTCCAGGTCGAATTGTGTAGTTTTCTTGTGGAGATTGAGTTTAAGGATGGATGGTATTCTAAATGCTCTCAAGTTTTTTTTTTTTTTTTTTTTTTTTTTTTTTTTTTTTTTATTTCCAGGCCATTAGACTGCTGGTTGTTTCAGATCAATCAGTAGCACTAAATTGCCATGTTATTTATTTTAATTTCTTCAGGTTCCAATTTTTTTGAGATAAATAGATTCTTTCATCATCTGTTTTCCCTCTAGTTACCTCTCAGAATGTTAATTCCACTGAGATATATTATTTTGATGTGAACGGAACAATGTTAAAATTCCAGGTCCGAATTGTGTAGTTTTCCTTGTGGAGATTGAGTTTAAGGATGGATTGGTATTCCTTAAATGCTCTCAAGTTTTTTTTTTTTTTTTTTTTTTTTTTTTTTTTTTTTTTTTTTTTTTTTTTTTTTTTTTTTTTTTTTTTTTGGAGTTTTGACACTGTAATTCTTCCACATTTTCAGATTTTGAGTTACGGATAGATGGTATTCTATATGCTCTCAAAACAATGTCTCGTTAAGAGCTGCAGTCCAGGACCAAGGGGTTGAATGGAGCAGTAGTCTATTTTTATTTTCAGCATTTAATTTAGTAATATCGTTTTAGTTTCTGAGAAGAAGATCATTAAGCTTTAGAACTACATCTCATAGCAGGAAGGATGCTCATTTTAAATGTTCCCGATTACTGGTGGAGTGAGTATGGGTATATGTGCAAAACCATTTGTAAAATAAAATCAAGTAACTTAAATTTTATTATTATTATTAATAAATGATGGAATTGAGAAATTTCACTCCAGATGTGACATTGTTTTAACAATGGTGAAATAGAAGTTATGACGGATTTTGTATTAATCGAATTGTCACTTCAAGATTAAAGGTAAATTATTTTAAAGAAATCATCACGAGTTGCTGGTAAAAAGAAAGTAACTTCCAAAATTTAATTATAAAAAACCATATTGTTAATACCGCATTAAAATCTCCATTCGTCCCAAAATAATAATGTATTCAAATTCACTTATATAAAAGAAAAAAAACGACGATTGATTCGAGCAAAAAGGATGGAGTTATTTTAATTAAAAGTCAAATATTTAATTTTTGTAATAGAGAAAATTCTCATCGAGAGCTCTTTTTCACGGAGGGCTAATATCCAAACACGAGTAATAATTTGGTTCCTTTCGGTTTATACAATTTTTAATTCTAATTAGATATTAATCATTGAGCTCGATATTTTTACTTTCCTCAAATTTTTCATAAGGTCAATAGCTGATTTGTGGTTTAAGTAGTCCAACTTGCCCCGCCCATGATTGACTTAAATCGGTATTTAAAATTTAAAATTTTAAATTAGCTGCAGCCATACCTCAAACGGCTAAAACCGGTCTCATAACCGTCGATAGCGGCAAATTTCCCTCCATATTTTTCTCTCGAGACTTCATTGATCACCATTTCTCATCTACACATGTCCCTCACTAAATCTTCGAATCCCTTCAAAGCTTTCCGTTTGGTTTCACCTATCAACCTTCATTCTCTTCCCCAATTCTCCATTTCTAGGGTTTCCCGTTCTCTGCTCAATTTCTCTTTTTATCGTTCCTCTTTCCGGCAAGGTTGCTTCACAATTCTTATTTTTTATATTAAGACGTTGGAATTTTGAGGTTTTAGTTAGGATTGAAATCAAATTTTATTATTTATGTATTAATTGATTTGCGAATTCAACGTCTTCTTTTTTTTGAATTTCTTGTTGGATAAAGGAGGCGTGATCTTTATCAAAAATGAAGAAAAAAGAGAAGGAAGAGGAGAGGGTTGAAAGGATCATTCGTGGTCTTCTCAAACTTCCTGAAAATAGAAGATGTATTAACTGCAATAGTTTGGTAAGGACGTTTTTCTTTCCTTTCCTTTTTTCATTATATTTGAATGGTTATATATTTTGCTATATATGCAAAAAAATTTTGTCTAGTTCACGCTGAATGGGCTAGAGGTTTCCAGGTTATTATGCTTGGCAGAGGAATCTGGATTTTCGGGTATATTATAATGCATTCGTGTGGGATTTTATGGTTTATGTAATCATGGTCATGTTTGTTAATTTAACATTTTGCAAGCAGAAACAAATTAGAAACCCTTTATGAAAAGGCAGGAGAACCAAATTTGTGTGTATTGATTTTTGATCTGGGGATTGGTGCAAGCAAAATTTGTTGCATTGTTCAGGTCTTGATGGACTTGACTGATTAGTCTTGCATTATTTCCTTATTTTTTTCTACATTTTTGGATGGACTTGACTGATTAGTCTTGCATTATTTACTTTTTTTTTTTTCTACATATGAGTATGACTATGGGCCTATTTTTTAGGTTGGAAATCATTTCGTAGTGTATGATTTTCTTTTGCCTTCCTATCTCCTTAACACGTTTTCATTTTGACAGGGACCACAATATGTTTGCACCACTTTCTTGACATTTGTTTGCACAAATTGCAGCGGAGTACAGTAAGTGTTAATATAAGTTTTAACTCTGCCATCTTTATCAGAAGCTTTTGGGATTTATTTTGGCCACTCTGGGTATTAATACAACCATGGTGCATATAATTTACAGGCAACTGATGCGATTTTTGGCAATTAAGGCCAAATTTATGTAGTGTTTTGTTTTAAGCAAGAGAGACTAACTTGTTTTGTATGATTCCAGCCGGGAATTCACACATCGAGTCAAATCAGTGTCAATGGCTAAATTTAAAGCAGAGGAAGTTAGTGCACTTCAAGCCGGAGGGAATGATGTATACTGAATTATTAATACTCTTCACTTTTGTTCTTGAGGACTTCATTTTCATGATCTAACATGAGTTTCTTTCATAGAGAGCCAGACAAATATATTTTAAAGATTGGGATCCTCAGCGGGATTCCTATCCTGATGGCAGGTGTGGTTACGCCTAACTTCATTTTAAAGTAGAAAATCAGTAATTAATGACTTTCTGATCCACATTTTTGCTCCAGTAATCTTCATAAGCTTCGAGATTTTATCAAGCACGTTTATGTGGCTAGAAAATATTCTGGAGAGAGAAGTACTGAAAGAGTCCCGAGGCTGAGATTGGTAATACCATCAAAGATACTGCTCATAGAAACAATGTTTTTCTTCTTCATTTTCTTATTTTATTTTACTCTTTCCATCGGAATTTTTCCTTCTATAAATCTGCATATGATATTAATAATCACTAACTCAACAACTTTAGAGCTCATTTTCTGGATCATAGCAAGTATTGAAAGGACTTGTTTGAGAAGCTGTCAAGAAAAGCACTATATAGAAAATTTTAACTAGAGGTCATTGAAGTTTTACATTAAGGTGAATTTTATACGTTCTAATCATAAAAGGTTCAAAGCAACTAAACAACTCTACCAAACTGCTTTTTCCAATGGCATCTAAGACGGTGTTCTTCAGGAAAGTCATTCAACCAAAATGATAAATGGACTTCTAGTACTCTCCACCTAAAAGTCTTTTTGCATTTGTTAATAATTCTTATGCTCTTATACAGAATGACAAGGAGGAATCCTACGAGAGCAGGAAGATTGGTTTATATTATTCTCGATCAAAAAGCCCTAATTATAGGGATAAATATGAACGGAGTGCACGATCTCGTCCTGGTGGAAGAAGTGATGACAGAAGTTTAAAATATTATTATGATGAAAGAAGAAGTCCTTGTTATGGCGAAGAAAATTCAAGAAGTGGAGGCTTCAAGAAGATTCCTGTCGGCTTTGAAATTGTCGATGACAGGATTCGAGATGAAAAACCTCGAAGTGGAAAGCTACCTGATAACCATAGGTTTCCACACAGAGAATCCAGGTATGGAAGCTTGTCACCTGACTATCAAAAGAACATGGATCGGTCCAGCTCCCCAGTAGTACGGCCTTTTAAAGATATTACAGGGGATAATGCTCCAACTCTTCATGTTGGTGAACGTTCTAAAGCAACCGACAGAAAAGATGCTGATAGCGCTGCTCAAAATCAGGTTCAATAATTGCTAAATGTACAATTGTTGAGTGTACAATGATATTTTATAATCTTATTTAACTGAGAATGTGACCATTGGATTCCAATACGGTAGAAACCAGCCAGCAAAATTGCAGAAATTCTTGAGATGAAAAATGAAACATTCTAGAATGCAATTATGTTGCAAGCTCTTTTTGTTTAACTTTCATGATTCTCTCCCTTTCTACTCTGCACTCACCCTGAGAAGTGAAACAGGAAACATTTAACCACATGACCATGAAATTCCAGTTCTTTTATTAATTTTTGTGAAAAATTTTTTTGGTACATTGCTAAACTTTCTGAAGGACAATTAAAGCTTCACTTACGACTTTTTGTCATTGCAGATGATTAAATCTTCTGGCAGCAAGGGATCTATTGATGGGATGGCAGTGGAAGATAAAAGTCAGAATTTGATTGATTTTGATACTGATTGCACGCCTTCCAATGCCGTGGCAGCACCACAAAAAGAGGAAAATCAGCAATCAAGTGATGGATGCAACTGCAATTCTAAAGAGTCTTCTGCAAAGCAGTATGCACCACCAGGTCCAAAACCAAATACGTTGGAGTTTTTGCTATTAGAGTTGTCAGTTCCGTCTGTTGAACCTGCTGCTAGTGTATCTGAAGAATCAAACAATGACAGTTCTCCATCAACTACATCTGGAGGCGATATGCTCACAAGTGGTGGTGTTTTGATGTTAACTTTCCCAGACAATACTGGGGCTTCTAAAAATGAACCTGGAGGCACTGTGCCAATGGGTGGTGTTTCATCAGCTGCGCCTCCTGGGCAGTTGCTCGCGCTAACCAGTAGTTCTGATGTTTCTGCAACTGCATCTGGAGACAGTGCACCTGATGCTGTGCATGTGGAGCAAACATTATCACTACTTGATACTTTTGATTCTAGAGCATCAGCCACTAGTTTGCCTTTGCAACCATCTAATGGAGGTCCATCACAAGCTGTACCTGATATTCATGGTGATTCCACTTTTAAGATGCCAAATGGGCTGCAGGTCTCCAATGTGCAGCAACATCAGCTTTCCGCAATTCCTGCTGCAGATGGTAGACCTAGTGGACAACAGACTAGTATTATTACAACAGTTGGAGGTCTAAATAACCAGGTTACATTTCCATTAATTTTCAAGTATCAGGAAAATTTAGAACTTTTTTGTTGACAGTTCCGGGAGTTCTTACAACTCTATTTTGTTTTGAAATATAATCTTATAAAAGGGTGAATTACACTGGTTCTTTATTTTTTTTCTTGGTTTAGGAGATATCCATAAGATAAAAGTTTAGCCCCCTGTAGGCCAGATACCCTTTCTCAAAAAAACAAAGCACAGGAACGCTTGTGGATCACGAAAATATCATTTTACTAATATTTGTGCATATTTTATATATATGCAGCCGCAGACTTCAATGCATTTGCCTAATGTTCAAGGTCCTAGTGCTGCTGCTCAACATTCTTCCCAGGATGTCACAAACATAATCCAAGACTGCACATCTGGACTTAAATCTCAGTATGTCCCACTGGAAACAAAGTCTATTGGAAGAAAGGAACTTCCAATGGTAATTGTCTTACCTTTCATTGATCTTAGATGTTTCTGATCAAAATACAATGATAATTTTTGTTTATTCTCTGCAGAACCTTTTCACAGCAAGTTATTCACCAGTACCTGGATCAATTCCTGGTTGGCAAAATGCTCTACCTTATGGCACAGGATACAACATGCAATATTATCCAAACCCAGTGGTATCTTACAAAACCAAGAATATCAAGTGGAATAAGTTCTTGTTAGTTTCCTTTTCCAAATCATACGGACATTGATATCTATTTAATATTGGTTTTTGTTGCAGCCTGCACGACAGTACCCTAACCAAGCAATATCAAGCAACCCGTTTGATCTTGACAATGAAACCACTTCATTACAAGTTTCACCAGTATGCACAATGCTGAGACTGGTTTTTCAGACTTGCATTAATTACTTTTATGTTTTTCCTTTATCTTTGCTTTGCCTGTCATTTATTGACCCTGTATGCATATGCGTGCCTTGTCAATCTTGTAATCTGGTTAAATAGAGAACAAGGGAACATAGATCAAGAAGTAAAATTTATATATCATAATACCCATTTGTTCACACATTTAGCAATTGATTTATGTGCTCGTATTTTTTTTTTCGAATTTCTGTATCTAAGTGCTATGCTTGAGTGCTTTTTGTCTCTCCAAAAATAAAATTTCTAACCAAAGCTTGAAAAACTTGTGTTAAGCATTTATTGCTTATTGAAGTTTGCAGGACTTACTAACACGTCCAATACCGGTGCTTTAGTGCCTACTTACAGCATTGACACAAACTCTTCTGGGTTCATGGCATCTCAAGCACCAGCTTATGCATCTGTAACGCCTTTGTGGTCTTCTTCCTTCAGATCAGCCACTTCTTCTGGTAAATTTAATTTTACTTTTCCTATTCTTCTAACTAATCCACCAATTTGCTTAATTTCAATTCTAACATCCAGGTGCATACATGGGACAACAACTACTCCATATGAACACACCATCTTCTAGGTAACATTTTTGTCCTCTGTTGTCTTACTTCATATCCATTTTTCTTAAAGCGGCTTCTACATGCAATGAGCTTGTTTGGCTTTGAGATCAGTATCTACCTGTTGGAAAAGCACAGTTTGGGTGTTACTGAAAAAGGCAGTTTTAAACTAAAAATTTAACTATTTTAAAGTATTTAGAAATATAATATCTCAAATTCAATGTTAAAACAACTTTTTACAATTACAGCAGGCCACAAGGAGATGCCAATGGCTTTGGTAGCGAAGACCCTTTTAGCTCACTAAACATCATTCAGCAATCTACTAGTGCATTTCCATTACCCTCTGCTCGAAGTTCGCTTCCTTCTATGGGAGGAAACCCTTTTGTATAAAAACAAAAAGGAAAAGGAATGTGTGTGTATATATATATATATATATATGGGAGGAAACCCTTTTGTATAAAAACAAAAAGGAAAAGGAATGTGTGTGTATATATATATATATATATATATGTATATATATTCATGGTGATTTCCTTCATTAGAACAATTTTGTTCTGATTATTTAGTCACCAAGGGTTCTCCCATTATCCATCGGTTGTTCTTTTCACATTAGAGTACCATCATCATTTATATTCTCCACTGTGATTAAACAATTAAGATTTCATTAGAATTTGAAAAGGAATATCATCAGTAAAGAAATTGTACTTCATTAAACTTTATATTTAAAAATAAATTAATATATAATTATTTACTAATTGAATTACACTATGCGAAATATAATTGATTAATATAATGTTAGAGAATTAATAGCATATTAAGTAACAATTTATATGACTTTAATTATATGAATAGATTGCTTAATTTATAAATTTTAATGATATGAACGGTTATTATTTATATTAAAAAAATTAAATAATTATTTTTTATTAAATTAAATTATGTTAAATATTTAAATTAAATTATTGTTAAAAAATTATGTTAAATATAATTAATTAATTAATTATAGCGTTGGAAAATTAATAACTTATATATAACTTTTAATTATTTAAAATAAGTTATTTATTCATGGATTTTAATGAAATAATGAGTTATTTTTTATATTAATTTTAAACTAAATCAAAATAATGAATTTTGCCACCTTTCATTCACTTCTTTTTCTATTTATCTCTATAAATTTAAATATTTTTAATCCATGCTCTTGAACACATGTTTATCTATTGTTTTTTACTCTAATAATAATAAATCACGTCTATATCATTTTTTACTATCAATATATCTTTATTTTATATTTTTTAATACCATAATACAAGAAATTCCACTGAAGAATCTATAAACAATATATATATAATGTATTATATATATATATATATATATATATATTATATACACTTTCAATTTTTAGCTTTTTTTTTTACATTTTTTTTAAACCGTGCATAATATATATACTATATTATATATATATATATACACTTTCAATTTTATTTTTTTTTTTTTACATTTTTTAACCGTGCCATAGTTTTATTCATCCTTAGTGTTTAGTTGGGATTAAGTAGACTAGATAAGTGAAATTTTTCGGAAAGTGCATAAAAATACACTTTCAATTTTAGTTTTTTTTTTTTTACATTTTTTAACCGTGCATAGTTTTATCATCCTTAGGTGTTTAGTTGGGATAAGTAGACTAGATAAGTGAAATTTTTCGGAAAGTGCATAAAATGCTTGTGTTTGGTTTGCGTTATCAATTTTACTTTCTAAAAAGTAGATCATTCAACTTTTCTTACACAAGGGAAGTAAGTTCTTTAGATATGGATAAGGAAGTTGCATTTTTCTAGTTAAGTGCAATGAATTTATTAATTTATCTTATTATCTAAATTCACTCAAATTTACATTATGGATATTATTGTAATTTGTGGTTTAAGAATAATTCACTTCCCAAGAAGTTGATTTGCATACCAAACACATACAAATTATACTTGCTTGGAAGTATATTTCTTAAGAATTATATTTCCCAGGAAGTAAGTCATTTTTAACCGAGCGCGGTCATTAGTATCTTTCGGTTTTTGATTATGATGGATAGATATGTTAAAGATGCACTAACTATAAACCATCCATTACAATTCCAGCTTCAAGCTTAAGCAAGGAATTTCAACTTTCGCATAATAATCAAATTGGTCCAATTCATTGTTGGGATATGACAATATGACTTTTTTTTTTTTCCCTTTTACTTGCAAAAAATAAATTTACATATATATCAAATGTAAGAGATATATCAAATGTAAGAATTTTTCAGAGAAATTTATTTTTTAGTATTTGAAGAGAGATTCGAATCTAAATCTATTATCAGATCTAATTCATTTCTCAAAACAACTTATATTTGTGAACAAAATGACGCTTTAAAATGATTTATATTTATTGATAAAGGGATAATAAAATATAATTAAAATTTGGATAAATTTTTCTAGTGAATTATCAAATCAAATGAATTGAAATGTAAGGAAATTTTATTGAAATAATGGGGAAAGATGCTTCATGCTTGACACCCATTAAATGGCCTCTCATTAAGCAAAAGGTTAGCCAGCTTCTCCCTTTTCTTTAATTTAGAATCCTATTTACATTTAAATTCATGAATTGACCCATCTTTAAAATGACATAATCAAACTTTAGCCAAAACCATTAATGTCAACCTCTTTATATTATTTTTCTTAATATATCAAAAATATTTAAAAAGAAAAAAAAAAAAGAATTACTTGGATTTGAAATCTTAACAGATTGGAATATTGAGTTTGTACTTTAATGTCCCTCACTTCTAAGCTTTGCAAATACAAAGAGAAGCACATTCCTTTATTTTCTTCACAACGCAGAGACATGCAATGGAGTCCCAAAGCCAACAACTACCTATTTCTAATGCCGTACGGTGCCAAAACCAAACTGAAACACCCACCTCCAAATCTCCATCGTATATAATTCATATTCTGAGACAAAATTTGATCTTTCAATCAAAATGGGCAGAGCTGAATGGTGCAATGGGAGACCTGGGCACTTATATACCAATAGTATTAGCCTTGACACTAGCCAGTGACCTAAACTTAGGCACAACATTGATATTCACTGGCATATACAATATTGTCACTGGTGCTATTTATGGTGTGCCCATGCCAGTCCAGCCGATGAAATCAATTGCTGCAGTGGCTATATCGAATACTGATAATTTTGGTATTCCAGAAATTATGGCTGCAGGAATTTGCACTGGAGGAATTCTTTTGATTTTGGGTGTTACCGGTTTGATGCAACTAGTTTATAAGATAATTCCACTATCTGTTGTTAGAGGTATTCAGCTTTCACAAGGGTTATCTTTTGCAATGACTGCTGTTAAATATATTAGAAAAGTTCAAAACTTTTCAAAATCTAAATCTAGTGGAGATAGGCATTGGTTGGGATTGGATGGGTTGGTTTTGGCCATCGTTTGTGCTTCCTTTATTATTATAGTGAATGGCTCAGGTGAAGAGAGAGAAGAAGGACAAGAGAGTAATGAAGACAATTTGGTGTTTGAAGAAATGACTAAGAGAAGAAGACTAAAGAAATTTATTGCGTCCCTTCCTTCTGCTTTTATGGTGTTTTTGTTAGGTGTGGTTTTGGCATTTATAAGAAAGCCTGAAGTGGTGAAAGGTATTAAAATAGGCCCATCTTCTATTGAAATAGTGAAAATTCCAAAGCATTCATGGAAATCAGGGTTCATTAAGGGCACAATTCCTCAGCTTCCTTTATCAATACTAAACTCTGTTATTGCTGTTTGTAAATTATCATCTGATCTTTTTCCTGGAAAGGATTTTTCGGCTACTTCAGTTTCTGTGACTGTAGGGTTAATGAATTTAGTGGGTTGTTGGTTTGGGGCTATGCCATGTTGCCACGGGGCAGGTGGGTTAGCTGGTCAGTACAAATTTGGAGGCAGGAGTGGTGGGTGTGTGGCTCTTCTTGGTGCAGCTAAAATGGTATTGGGTTTGATTATAGGAAGTTCTTTGGTGATGATATTGAACCAATTTCCAGTAGGAGTTTTAGGGGTGCTATTATTGTTTGCTGGAGTAGAGTTGGCTATGGCTTCAAGAGATATGAAGACAAAGGAGGAATCTTTTGTGATGCTTATATGCACTGCAGTTTCTCTTGTGGGTTCAAGTGCTGCACTTGGATTTGTGTGTGGGATTGTTGTGCATTTGCTTCTTAAGCTTAGAAAATTGTCATAAATATTATATGTTAGGAATTAAGGACTATATTGTAATAAACATTGCTGTAATAGTAATTAATAGCCTGCATAGTATTTCAATTACTTAAACTTGTGGCTAAATGTTTATATAGCTGCTGATGTGTAAGTAGCTGAGTTGGCATTTAGATACAGCCTATTATATATCTAATTGTATTTATGGAAAAAGAAGTAATGAGAAAATATACTCTTTTTCCTATTCTGCTCCTCTCTTTCCTTTCCTTCTTCTTCTCTCTTACTTTTCTGAGGCTCATCTAATTTCTGGGTTACCAAACACTCTTGTTAAGCAGTACATGTTGCAGTCCCTTAACATTATATTAGAATATAGATGTATATAACTCAAGATTTATGAGTTGTGTGAAGAAAGAATTAATAAAAATGTGCATTTTATTATACTGCATACTAAAACGCAAGCATGAGTCACTGGTTTAGGAAGAAGGAACAGTGCCAAGGGTGTCGTCTAAATTTTCTTTTATGTCAACAATAATAGACGACATAAATGTCAAGTATTAAGGATTGTTCTTTTTTGTTTTTTTGAAAGAACTATCAGATTATTATATTTTCTATGCTCCTGTGTTTTTTCAAAGCTTGGGTTTTGGCTCTGGTGCATCTCTATTTATCTGTTAGAACAAGTGGAGCCCTGGTTCTTGGTGCTCTTTATGTCAATGGCTTTTGTAGATAAATTTGGCAGAAGAGCTTTCTTTCTTGAAGCTGGTTTTTAAATGTTCGTTGTTGGAGTACGTGGGTAATCCCACGTCGGATAAATACAACTAACTAAAATGGCGTATAACGTGAACGGTGAACCAATCAAAATGGCTTAGGCTATTTTGTGTTAAAGGTAAACCCAACTCATTATAAATCCAATATTAAATATATAATTGAATTTGATTTGATTAGTTGTCCCTGGTGCCCAGATTCTCCACATTCGTCTATGTGGTAAATTGCACACTTGCACTCTCTTTTCTTTGTTTATTTATTTTATTTTTGTCTTCATTTTAATATTGAGCGAAAATTGTTCAAACCCCCTACTTAAAGAAAGAAGAACATTGATATGCAATAAAAAATAGCGCATAGTAAAAACATACCACATCTTTTGGGTTTTGGAGATGAAGGATTATGAAGACTTCCCCTGCTTTCTAGAGAAACTGTTTGCATGACCTCCAAGTCAAAAGGTCAGTAACTTTTACCGTCATACTCAAGCCGCCTTAAACTTACTACTCAAAATCTTTTGTTCGAGCTTTTGCAAGCATATTTTCTTGATTTGCAGGTAGCTACAGGTATAACTTTAGCCCTCAAGTTCGGACAAGGACAAACCCTCCCAATGGGACTTATTTGTGTTGGCTTTTGAAAGGTCTTGGTCTCTCCTGGGTTGGCTAGTTCCAAGTGAACCCTTTCCATTAGAGACAAGATCAGCTGTACAGAGTATAGTTGTCTGTGTTAATATGATTTCCACTGCTTTGATAGCTCAATGCTTCCTTGTCTCTCTCTGTCAGTCTCTCTCTGTCACCTTCGGTATGGGATTTTCTTGATTGATGTTGATCATGAGTGCTTTCATCTTCTTCCTCTTACCAGAAACAAAGCAAGTACCAATAGAAGAGGTATATCTTCTCTTTCCAAAACCATTGGTTCTGGAAGAAAATTGTAGGAGATGGGATTAAAGGTGATTCTGATGAAAAATCAGGATCACCAAAATTTATTATTCAATCAAATTTGTTTAGGGCTCTTCTTTGTTCATTTCTGCCAATAAAATAGCTTCCAATTGATTTCCTTGAGTTTTATTTAGTTTTTCATTCACTAAAAATGTGAACTACCAAATTAATGTTTATTTATACCAAATATAAAAATTTGAATTTGTAAACACTGATTTAAAGAATGTTTGCAGCCTCTTCAATAATTTAAGGTATCAGATGGTGAAAACATAATAAACATGTTTCAAACCTTAGCAAGTTTAATTAACTGTACAGAAAATATATTGTGATTGAGCAATTTATACTAAACTTTCACTGTATAGGATAACTTTCTGTCATTGGGTTTGGGCAGCTCTGAGTAGATCTCTCCATTTCTGCGGATCTTCCATGGCCGTCACCCTGCACAAATACAAATCTTAGTTCAGCAAAATGAAGCAATTACTGGAACCATAAGCTTTACAATAACTAATTCAAAAGTTGAACTGAAATATTTGTAGAGAGAGTTTCTGAATACTCAAAAAGAAAAAAAAAAATGCATAGGTGAAATTAAGCCTAATATTGTTTTCAGACGGTAACATTATAACATATGGCCTATGATACATGAATATCTTAAGAGGTTCAACATACTCGTACATACGTCGGACACTTCCGAATACCGAATACATATCGGACGCTTAAAATGCTATGTCCTATTATTTATTTTATTTTATTAATTTTGAATAGGATACTTGTAATAATAATTTAAGGACATTTTTGAAGATACTTTAGAGATATATTTGAAAATTAAAATATAAAATATTTCAAAAATTAATTTGATTTCATTTCATTTAAATATGTTGGAATTCTTTAAATTGTCAACTTTTCTCTAAATAAGCTATAAATATTGTGATTTTGGATGGTAATATTAATTTTGAAAATTTAATTAATTATATTGAAATAAGAAATTATGAGTTTTTTTATTTATGATTTATTATAAATAATTATTTATTTATTTGAATTATTAATTCGATTTAAAATATGTTTGGAATTCTTTTAAATTGTCAACTTTTCTCTAAATAAGCTTATAATATTTGTTGATGTTTGGATCGGTTAATATTTTAATTTTTGAAAATTTAATTTAATATCATTGAAATAAGAAATTTATGAGTTTTTTTCTATTTATGAATTTATTATAAATAATTATTTTTTATTTGGACTTTAATTAATTATATTGAAATAAGAAATTATGAGTTTTTTTATTTATGATTTATTATAAATAATTATTTATTTATTTGAATTATTAATAAATTACAATTATTTAGTTTATCGATATCCTTTTTTTTTTTTTTTAAATTAACATATCATGTGTCCATGTAAAATCTAATATTCCTGAAACCTAGCGTATCGCATTGAAAAGTCAATAATACACTGTTTGAAATTCTTTTTCCTTTTTACACCATTTAGTAGAATTGCCCCAAAAACCGCTGTTGACCTGCTCCACCAACTATTGTCAACCAAAAATTTATTGTTAGCCACATTGTCAACCATGGTAACTATCACTTCCTTTCTTTGCACTGCTGTAGCAACTACAAAGAGAAGCACATATCCATTAAAATACTGAGAATTTACATTAAAATAAAAAAATTTTAGCTCTTAATATTCTCCTTAATAAATAACATTCAGCCATTTATCCCATTATTCTGATAATTAGGGCATATTCAATAAAATTGTTATTTTAATAACAGTTAGCTGTCTTAGTAATTGTCAATATCTATTCTAATAACTATCGGTTGTTTAATTAGTATTTAATTAAAGTCAATTAATTGGTATCTTTTTTACCACAATTATTTTTATCAATTTGGTGATTAAAGGAGGACTGCTTTCTGTTGTGAAGCTGTTTAATGAACCGGCTAATACCTTATTTGATATGGCTTTATAAAAATTTTTTATTCCATTAGAAAGGAATCCTATGGCATTATGTGCCTCTAGACTAGGTCTGCGTTTATGCCGGCCCAACCACCTTGATTCATTTATGAAACTTCCTATGATAATACGATAATATATACTTATATACAAATCGTGTTCAATTACTTAAATTTTCATATTGTTTTTTAATTTAATAGTATTTTCTATAACAAAAACATCACGTATCATATGACCAACAACCACATGGTTTTGTTTTTTCGATCATTAACCATTACTCAGTAATAATTAACTACTGGAAATATTAATAGGTACCTTGCTGAACTGGATAACATCATAATGTGATGAAAGGCTCCATTAAAAAAATTAATTAATATATAATAATATGAAAGATATACGTATGTCTTACTAATTGAAAAAGATATATATAAAAAGAAAAGATTCCAGTGATTTCATTGCCTTTGGGACAAAAGCATTTTCTTGTTATGGTGTGATCATCTCAAAGAGTTTTCTATTCGTCCGATTACTTCAATATGTTCTTTCTCAATGGCATTTCCTTCTAGCATCAGGACAAACGTGTTATACATTTATCTATTTTGTCAAACATTTTTTTAATTCCAACTGGTATTTTTATACATTTTAGGTATGTGACAAATTTCATTTCGGGTTTTATAGTTATTCCTTTGTACTGAGTATTTCTATGTGTCGAACTTCTAACATTAGAGATATCAAACGTAAATACATTATCATCACGTGTAAAGTATATTTATTCTGTCCATTATATGCAAAGAGCCAAAAAGTTTCTTGTTGTAAAAGATAAGTTGAAAGAGGTTTCTAAGCTTAGGATATATGAAAATTATACGGTTGGGTTGGCTTGCACGCCATATTAGTTGGCTGCTCTTTTATATATATTGGCATGGGTTTTCACATTTTCGTTAAGGAAAGGGCACCAATAGCAGAATATACTGTTAGCTATCTTGCAGGTTTCTTCTGCTTTTATATTCTCCTCTTCTTTAAAGCTTTCTTTGTATTGCTAGCTACTCAGCAATAGCAATAGAAATGGGCAACTTTCTTTCCTCTTTTTCTCCATCTTCGAAAAGAAAATCTTTGCCCATCGAAACTTCCTTCAAGCTTCCTTCTCCATTGCCAACATGGCCACCAGGTACCTTCATATCTCTCTTTGCTACATCTATAGTTCATTTTTCACAGATGAACTCTGCATCTATATTAACTGATAATATATGTATACAGGTGATGGGTTTGGAAATGGAAGCATTGACCTTGGTGGATTGCGAGTGTGTCAGATTTCATCCCTCAAAAAAGTTTGGGCCACCCATGAAGGTGGACCAGATAACCTTGGTGCTTCTTTCTTTGAACCCTCAGAAACCCCACAAGGATTCTTTATGTTGGGTTGCTATAGTCAACCCAATAACAGATCACTTTATGGGTGGGTTCTTGCAGGGAAAGATGAGGGAACTGCTCAGGAAACTTTAAAGAAGCCACTTGATTACACCCTTGTTTGGAGTTCTGAGTCTCTGAAAATCAAGCAAGATGGCGGAACTGCTCAGGAAACTTTAAAGAAGCCACTTGATTACACCCTTGTTTGGAGTTCTGAGTCTCTGAAAATCAAGCAAGATGGCATTGGCTACATCTGGTTACCCACGGCCCCTGATGGTTACACATCTGTCGGCCTTGTTGTAACCAATGTTCCTGAGAAGCCTTCCCTCGAAAAAGTACGCTGCGTTCAATCAGACTTAACAGACCAATGTGAGATTGATTCTTGGATATGGGGAATAGGTAAACAAAGTGATCCAAATGCGTTTAATGTTTTCAGTTTGAGACCCAGCAATAGAGGGACACAGTTTTCAGTTTGAGACCCAGCAATAGAGGGACACAGGCTATGGGTGTCAGTGTGGGAACATTTGCCGCCCAAAACGGCAATGCTACTTCTATTTCTGTTGTTGCTTGCTTGAAGAACGTTAGCTCCCATAATTTATCTTGTATGCCTAACTTAAATCAAATCCAAGCAATTTTCAATGCATACTCTCCCCGGATATATTTCCATCCAGATGAAGAGTATCTTTCATCTTCTGTGAGTTGGTACTTCAACAATGGGGCTTTGCTATATAAAAAGGGAGAAGAATCCAATCCTGTGCCCATTGAAGCAACAGGCTCGAACCTTCCCCAAGGAGGTTCAAATGATGGTTCTTACTGGCTGGACCTTCCTGTGGATGAAGGGGCCAAAGAGAGAGTCAAGAAAGGAGATTTACAAGAAACGGAGGTTTATTTACACATCAAACCAATGTTGGGAGCAACCTTCACAGACATAGCTGTGTGGATATTTTGTCCTTTCAATGGTCCTGCCAAGGCCAAAGTTGAGTTCATCAATCTTCCTTTAGGAAGGATAGGTGAACACGTTGGTGATTGGGAGCATGTTCCTGCCAAGGCCAAAGTTGAGTTCATCAATCTTCCTTTAGGAAGGATAGGTGAACACGTTGGTGATTGGGAGCATGTTACATTAAGGGTCAGCAATTTTAATGGAGAGTTGCGGAGAGTTTTCTTCTCGCAACACAGTGGAGGGTCTTGGTTCGATGCCTCAGAGCTTGAGTTTGATAATGGCAACAAATCTATAGGCTACGCATCATTGCACGGACATGCCATGTACTCGAAACCAGGTCTGGTCTTACAAGGGAGTAATGGAATAGGAATAAGGAATGATACTGCTAAAAGCAAAATGGTATTGGACACTGGAACAAGATTCTCCATTGTTGCAGCTGAGTATCTCGGCACGGCTGTCGTAGAACCACCATGGCTCAACTACTTGAGGGAATGGGGACCCAAGATTACTTACGACATTGAGGATGAGCTAAAAAAGGTTGAAAAAGTATTGCCCGGAAAACTCAAATCTGCGTTTAGAAAGATTATCAATAGCCTACCGGATGAAGTTTTCGGGGAAGAAGGGCCTACTGGTCCTAAACTGAAAAGAAATTGGATTGGAGATGAAATTTGATTTAAAAACTAAAACAACTTTTTTTAACACGTCTCTGCTGGTCCGATTAATTTGGTTAATCCGGTTCAATTTGTTATCTAATTCGGTTTGAAAATATTAAAACTTAGAATTCGATTTTTCGAAAAAAAAACTAAACAAACGGACATTAAGCTTTAATCTATTTTATCCTTATCAATAAAAGTTAGCTTTTCCCCTCAAAATTTTGATATTAAGAAGGTGAAAGAAGAGATAGGGAGTTCTTGGATTATGAATATAAGATATTTGTAATTTGTTAAATTCTTTAGCATATGATTTGGATTTGCATTGTAATTTAAGTTTGAATTTTATTGTAATTAATAGTTTATTGCAATTAATCTATAAGTTTATATAATAAATTAGCTTTGTTGTTTTTATGTAGATTGCAGTTTTAAGTTTAGATTTGCCTTTGAAAAAAGAGTTCAAATCTATGTTCTATTTTTTTCTTAAAATTTTTCGATATTTCATAATTTTAGATCAATATTATTATTATTATTATTATTATTGGAAAATCCATTAATTCAGTGCAGTCTCCACTTTACTTGGTTCAATTTGATCACTGTCGATGTCAGATTTTATATAAGAGCCACCATCGATTTGATTGGTAATGTTTAGCAATTTTTTCTCATTTGGTGAACATTATCAATTGCATTTTTATGCACAAAGAAGTTTCCTGTATTTGGAATGTCATTTTTATATATATTTTTTTCTTGTAAAAAATTTTCTGCATTGGAGATTTGGAGATTTGACTGTATATAATATTAAAGATTAAGAGTATAAGCAAAGTAATTATTATTTTGTTAATCACATTTGATTTGATTGGTCTTCTTACCTCTTGTAACAAATGTAGAGAGTGAAACCTCAGAACGCTCTCCACCGTAAAAATTATCACTAATTTGATGAATGTTATCCAAAGAGAGTACTGTCCCCTATTGTGTAATCCACAATATTATTTCGGTTCATTGAATTTCACATGCATCTTAGAAAAAGTAATCTCTCTTTTTTTTAATAATTCTGATAATTATTCAACTAGTTATAACTTACTGATAATTTTTGTGAGCACTCATAGATTGTAGCGTTGCCGTATTGCATTTGAGTTGTTGAATTTTACTGAATGATGGCAATTTTATAGAATTAGATAGTAGAATATTTGAATTATTTCACTTAATTGGATGGTGAACAATATTAGTCCGTTTACCCTTTTTTTTTATAAAAGTTATTTAGTATTATAAAATTTATCTTTCAATTGTATTTAAAATATATTTACAAATATTATATATAAATTCGATTCAACCGTATTGAGATCTTGGTCAAACCTCCTGGTCCAATGAATCATACCTTCATTAATTCAATGATCGGTCTGGTTTTTAAAATACTAATTTTAACTCTGTGACTTCATGAACTTTTATTTGACTCGTCAAACACTTCAACTCATAAAACTATATTTATTAAATACTTTAACCTGCAGAATCAGTTTATTATGTACTTCAAATTGCATAGTTGATTAATTAAACCCCCTAGTAAACAGTTAAAAATATGAAAATTTAGTTCCAAAATTTATATAGATTACATATTAAATCAATCTTTTACTTATAAAAGTTGTAATATCCTAAAAATTATTATTGTTAGCGTAGAAAAGTATGCAAAGTTAATAAAGTTTGCAAGTTAGATGTACTATAGGTCATTTATAAAATTAAAAGTCTTGTTATATTAAAGTTGAAAAGTTCATAGGTAAATTTATGTATTATGTGCATGTTTTAATTAAAGAGTAATTGTCTAATGTTGGTAATGGATTCATGGCTCTGACTTTCTTTATTTTTTTTTTTCATAATATAAATGAGAAATAAAGAGGAAGTGAAAAAAATAAAAAAATATACCAAATTTAAAATTGAGAAAAAATGAATTAGTCGAGGAGTTATAGTTAAATTAACCCACAAAAATCTTTATTTTCAAAAATTAGCTATTAGGTCACTAAATTATATTTTATTAACATTTTGCTCCTTTCGTCCTACTGATGGAAGCAGGATGGGTGTTTTAAGGTATTTACCCGTTTCAATCCATTTAATAAGGATACTAGTAGTTATAAATGAATTAAGAACAGATAAGAGTTAAATTACTATCCATAAAGGATACGAGTATAGTACCAATATAGGTTTCTAAGTACCTGCTATATATACTCGCTATAATAAACGAGTTTGGTAATTGTTACCCGCGGAAAAGTCTTAGTTGAAATTATAAGAATGGTCAAAGTGCTAAGGGAAATCACAAGTTAGGACCTTATATTTGGTTTGACTATAATTTAAAAATTGTTATGAATATTTTAATTATGTGGATATCTATTATTGTTGTGTCCTTTGGAATGTAAAGTTACGTAATTTGGAATATAAGGTTATATCCTTTCGAGTATATGGTTATATTCTTTGGAATATAAGGTTATGTCCTTTAGAATGTAAGATTATGATTTTTGAGGTATATCTTGTACCTATAAATAGAGGTACCTTAACTAATATAGTAACGCTTTTCTAATGACCAGAATACTCTCTTTATATTCTTTTTACTCCGTTTATTTATATTCTCTCTATTTTTTATATTCCATAGCAAGAATCAAATTCTTAATCAATCGACTATTAAAAGAGGCTATTTTAAACAGAATGCGCTAATGTAATATTTCGTTTTATTTCCATATCTTTTAAAAGTAAACTTACTATATAACCATTAGTTGATGTTTTATTATTATTTTTTTGCTAGACAAAAACACGTTTTTTCGTACATGAGAAGAGAAAAGAAGAAGACAAATGTTGTCTTGTCAACATATTATATGACACTTAAACATTTTCTTTCACCTCCAAAAGAAGGAAAAGTAAAATTTGGAGATTAGAGAAAGCTTTTACCTACACTCAATGCAATGATTCTAAATGGCAAACAACATTGACATTTTGTTAAAGCCAAAAATGGTAAATTAAAGGGACAGTTTTTTCCATTTTTTTTTTCTTTGGAATCTATGGGCTTCTCGTCTCTTTGCTGCCTTTTTACTTTTCCACGTGATTTTCTCCTAGAGAAAAAAAAAAAAATTACCTGAAAAGTATAAATTTATAACAGAATAAAAAGAAAAGCCCAAAAAACTAAAAAATCAAAGTTAAAGGGTAAAAAAAATACTGAAAATCGTGAAAGCAAAAACATCTTATCATAATAATCATCTTCGTTGTCACCTAGAAATTGACACATTCAATAAACGGTTGAGCCAATAATGGAAATATACATGCCTCAATTTATCTTGGGGCACTATTAAATTTGTAAGAATACGATCCTACACTTTAACATTTCAATAATAATTATATCTCTTATTAAAATGAAATAATTTTGTAAGAGTTCAACTATGACCATTCACTTTTATATTTTATTTTGGCGAATAATATAATTATTATTAAAATATGAAAATATAGAGTTATAATAAATTCTCGCAAACTTAAGGGTGCTACAAGGCAAACCGCGTAAATTTCAGAGGCAAATCTATGCATTTGGCTTATGATATATATATCCACATGTGCATGTATGCGAGTATATATTTTATTTGGGTGGGGAATGCTTTTGCATGTTGAATTTTGATGGAAGAAATGATGTTTGTCATCTTTGTAAATGGGAAACCTCATAGTCAGTTTTTGAAAATAAAAATCATCATGTATTATTTGACTTTAAGTTATATTCCGTTTGATATAAATGAATTTAAAATATAGAATTTATTTGTAAATAAGTTTTTATGTTTGATATGGTTAACTTAAAACATGTAATTCACATGGAGAGGGAGATTTGCATTAAAAGAAATTTCTATGAAAAAATCAAATAGTTTCATGTATTTATTGTCAAATCATATATTATCACATGCTTGGATATTACAATGGGAAACTTATTATTTAGTCCCTCAGGTTTTACATAATTATCCAACTAATCCGAAGTTTTGCGCAAATATCTAACTAGTCCCTCAGGTTTAACTCCGTTTAATTAAAAGGTCATTCCGTCCGAAAAGTTGATTTTTTTCCGTTAATTGAAGACTAAAAGACTAAAACACCTCTCCCTAACTGACGTGGACCAGTATGAAGCATTATAATAAATTATTGAATAAATTTTGACAATATTACTCTTAATTTAATATTAATCTCTAAGAAAATCATTAAATTGAAATAATAATTATTAATCATACACAAAGGGTAAATATGAAAAAAATATTTATTACTCCTTAAAACCGTAAATATAACAAGTATTTTAGACTAAATTAGACAAATATTTTAGAACAAACTATTTTCTCAAATCTGACAAGTATTATAAAACAAAGACAGTATTAAAAAAAGGATAAAAAAATTAATTTGATGTTCTAATTAAATATTATTAAATTTGAGTGAATCATGAAAGTAAATACATCTTCAAAAAAGTAATTACTTCATTTTTCTTTTTACCCCAAATTATCATCATAGTTTCTTTTTTAGAAAAAAAAGTAATAAACATATTTTCTATTTTATTCATATTTAATATGCAAATTTTATCAAGAAACATTTCTATTATCATTGATAAAATCTAAAAAAAAAAACAAAGTATTCCATCTATTCATAAATACTTTTAATATTTTTATGGTAATTAAGTAAGTAAATTTATTCTTATAAATTATAACAAAATATTAATTAATTTTATTACGTAACCTTAAGTAATATTAAATTTAATATAAATAAGGGTAAAATTGAAAAAAAAATTAATTACTCATTAATATTCTAAAAAAAAAGATATTTGCAGAGAAAACACAGGCTCTAAAACAATAGTTATTTATAGATAAAAAAGTAATTATTATTGTCACCTATATTATTATAATTTCACAACTTTGAATATGAATATTAATATTTAATGTAAGGTTATCTGTGATGCAAGGTTATGTGCAAAAAGATAAATTAGGTATTCATTATCGCTTCATACTGGTCGCGACGTCAGTTAGGGAGGGTGTGTTTTAGTCTTTATCTCAATTAATGGATAAAAAAATTAACTTTTCAGACGGAAGGACCTTTTTAATTAGACGAAAATTAAACCTGAGGGACTAGTATAGATATTTGCGCACAAAATGTGGGGTATAGTTGGGTAATTATGTAAAACCGAGGGACTAAATAATATTTCCTTTATCGCTTTCATACTGGTCCAAAGTTCGCTAGGGAGGAGTGTTTTTTAGGTCTTTTAGTCTTCAATTAACGGAAAAAAATCAACTTTCTGCGGAAGGACCTTTTAATTAGACCAGAGTTAACCTGAGGAATTAGACAGAGTTAAACCTGAGGGACTAGTTAGATATTTGCGCAAAACTTGGGATTAGTTGGATAATTATGTAAAACCTGAGGGACTAAATAATAAATTGCCCTATTACAATAGAGCTTCATCTAAAATATCAATAAAAATAAAATTACTTTCACATCTTTAATATAACCCAAATTCATTATTATTTTCTTTTTTTTTTTTTCCATTCCTACGAATACGAACATGATAATACATTTGAACCCTGCAAAAAGTGAAACATGATAAAGGAATAATAATAAATCCATGAGATTTGGTTAACATAGATTCTGGCCCTTTCTTTTTCTAAAATCAAATTCTATAGTTCAGATTCTCTGGGAAAAAAAAAACCATTTTGATAGGCCAAAATTAGGTCCAAAAAATACATGGTTTTGATTAATAAGATGTTTTAGTCTGTAAAAGAACATAGCAAGTGTATATGGAAGATTAGTTATCTTTTTGGGCACAGCTTGGAACTTTCTAAATTCATATGTTGCATTGCGACATTACATAGAGCTTGTCTTGGACTATCCATCCTCACACCAAGTAAAAGAAACCTGCTAACCTGCACACTTTTGCTGCTCATTTTGATCTCTTTCTCAATGGCCTTGAAAGTGGAGTATACGTAAACAACTCCCACAAGAACAGCTAGCTCCAGAACAGCTAGCTATAAGAGCATGGCATGAAGTTAATTTCCAATCATACAATATTTATGATTCCTCGGAATCAGAATGAGCGTGTATATCAAATTTAAGAACTAACATGATAAATTATTGATATAAAAAAAAATCAGAAATGGATAAATGTCCTTCTGACCAGGTCGCCTCCTTAAAAAAGTACAATTATCTGTCCTGCAATGCCAATTGCAAAATGGGATGCTCCTCAAAGCAAAAGGCTCTCTCTTGTTGCCAAGTTCGTCAAGTACAACTAAGGTATAAACAGAATTGATCATCAAAAATTTGAATGTCAAAACTAAAAAATAAAAGGAAATACATAAGAAAATGGGTAGATTTCATCAGTTTCGCTTGCAAGAAAATCTACTTGCAGAACGATCCCTCCCACCAATATAAACATGACTAAATGTTGGGGTGCTGGCAAGAGCCCAAACAGAACCTGTATGCACAGCATATAAATGCAAACAGCTCTGCCGACCAAGGTCCCATAAGGCTATCCATAAATAATCAAAGACAAGTTTAAACATTTAAATGCTCAAATGAAGTATATAAAATAAAGAGAAGTTAAAAGGCAGGAAGTTTGCGATATCCACCTGATCATAGAGTCAGAAATTCCCGATAAGCAATACCTGCAAGATTGATATTTGGAAATTCTGTCGCTAAATTAACTAAAAGATATAATTACATAAATGAAATATCGATAAGCCTAATCAAAATCAAATTTGGGTATAAAAAGGTTAAAGTAAAATCATCAATCGATTAAAGAACTATAAAAGCTAGGCAACCACGGAATACATCGAATCAAATGCGAGTAGAATTAGGAAAAGCCTAAAAAATTTGTTAAAAAAGAAAAATCAAATACTGAACAACAAGAAAAAGAGCTGAGATTTCTCTATGTTTCAGTTTTTATATATATACATTAGTGTTAGAACTCGTGCGATACGTAGAGTAATATTAAAAGATGAAATAATTTTTTATAATTTTATTAAAAGATGAAATAATTTTTTATAATTTCGACACAAACACAACACAAAAATTAATTAGACGGTTGACACGAATATGACACATTTAACTCGCTTAATATCATAAACATGTTAAGTGAGTGGTGTACTCATATACAACTAGTGTAACCCGTTTAATATCATAACTTGATTAAGTGGATGTGTTCACTTGTATATGACCCACTTGACCTGCTTATAGTATTTTTAACTTTTAACCTATTTAACTTCATTCATATTTAAAAATAAATTTTCACACGTAAAATGCGTTAATTCTTCAAGATTCATAATTAAAATAAAAAAGTATTACAAACAATAAAATTTAAATAGATTTTAGTTGGAGTATTTATATCTGACGCTAAAATTATCTCTTCACTCTTATAAATGAGTGACTCGTTTATGGCACGAACTCGTTTAACCTCAACCCTAACCCATTTATTTCGCACGTTAAACGAATCGTGTTCGCATGTCGTGATCCATTTTGACAATCCTAGTATGACATACATCAAAAAATGCATACGCACTATTAATGTATTTTTCAAAATTGATAATAATTTTGAGAATTTAACTAATTATATTGAAATAAGAAATTAAGTTTTTGTAATTTATGTTTATGATTTATTATAAATGATTGTTTATTTATTTGAAATATTAATGTACTATATTTATGTAGTGTAATGTGTCCTAATCATGTGAATTTTTTTATTTTTTTAAAATTATCGTATCGTGTACGTTTCCGTATCGCGTGATGAAGTATTTTTTAAAATTATAGTTTTTATTTATTAATCTTAATTTAATTTTTTGTCTCCTATATGATATTATTTGAAAATATATTTTTTTCCCGTTATAATCTGCACGATGTGCAGGATATTATTAAAAGATGAAATAATATTTCATAATATCATTCAAAAATAGTAAAATTATATAATAAAATGATAAATTGTATCTTATTAAGATATGCTGAAAAGTTGCGATACTAAGATATGTCTCTTAAGTATAATGTAAAACTTTTCATATAGTATGTAATAGTAAAAATCATGCATGGTATGCCCTACATAAAAAAATGCATAAACATTATTAATATATTTTTTAATTGATAATAATTTTGAGAATTTAACTAAATAACTAATTATTATTAGAAATAAAAATTAACGGATTTTTTTTTTTTATGTTTATTTATTATAAAATATGCGGAGGACCCGCGCATTTCGCGTGTTGCTTTATTTTTTTTGGTATTGTACATTGTATTAGGATATTACTTTTTTACTTGCACATATAAAAATATATATCTATAAAAAAATAAAATTCTAAACTTTTAAAGAAATAAAGAAGCAAATAAAAAAAATTATAATATATATATATATAGTAATATATATTATATATATATATATATATATATATATAATATATATAATATATACATACACACACTAAAATATTAGTAAATAAATACATACAATATACAGCCCCTAAACAATAAGCATTACTTATAAATAAAGATATATAGAATGCAAAATTTGAAACGAATATATAGATGTAAAAGTAGATAATTTATTCTAAATAGAGACACAAAAAATTTAAACATTCAATCTAAAACTAAAAAATAATAAATATTCAAATGTAATTGGGTTAATTATTTTAATAAATAATAAAAAAATTTTTTAAACATAAAAGTATCTTTAAAATGTTCAAATAAAAAATAAAAAATTTAAATTGATAATACTTAGATATAGCATTATTATTGTAATATTGAATATTAATTTTTAAATTAAATTATTTGATATAAATGATAATAAATTAGATAGAATATTAATTTTTAATATAGGTAGGTTGTAAATGTTCACTTGCTATTATATATATATTAGTACAAGAGATTTTCTCTTGACAAGATGATGATGATGAATAATAAATAATATAAACTATACTTATATCTCTCTATCTAATTTAGTGAAACTCTCTCAAAATTAAATACTTTAAAATCCAACATCAAATTACTGATTTTAAAAAATTATATATACTATATATTATATTATATATAATATATATATTATATTATATAATATATTATAATAATTACATGAATTAAAAAAATTATAAATAACTAAATTTTACGTATATATGAATATCAAGCAATGAATAAAAAATTTATAAGTTTCTACTATATACTAAAACTATAATAAATTAAAAAAAAATACATAAATGGATTAATAATTAGCTTTTTTTTTCTTCATCTCCATCAACATGATATTTCTCATACCTGCATAATAAAAAGAAGAGAAATTACAGAATGCACAGAAAAAGGAAGACCATAAAAATTAAAAAATTTGAAATGTAAAAAAAAGGAAAAAAGAGATCAAAGAATTAATATTACATCAATCGAAGAAAAAGAATTAACATTATTAGGATTGAAGTAAAAGAATTAACTTTTCTGGATTGAAGTTGCAAAACAAAAAATCACACATATATAAAAATAAATAAATAAATAAAGCAATAAAAAAAATAAGAGAATTGTAAAGCAACAAAAAATAAGTAAAAACCCATTGTGAAAGAAAATCATTGGAAATGATTAATATGAGGGTATATATATATATATATATATAAATTAAAAATTTTTTAAAATTTTAATTTGAATATAACAAAAGAAATTCAAATGTTTTAAAATTAAAATTTTATTAATTTCGAATAGGACTCTTATAAGAATAATTTAAGGACATTTTTGAAGATACTTTAGAGATATATTTGAAAATTAAATATAAAATATTTTCGGGAATTAATTTGATTTCATTTCATTTAGATATATTGGAATTCTTTAAATTGTCAACTTTCTCTAAATAAGCTAGAAATATTGTGATTTTGAATGGCCATATTAATTTTAAAAATTTAATTAATTATATTAAAATAAAAAATTATAAATTTTTTATTTTTTATTTATGATTTACTATATTTTTTATTTTTTATTTATGATTTACTATGAATAATTATTTATTTATTTGAATTATTAATAAATTATAATTATTTAGTTTATCTGTATCCTATATATATTTTTTTAAATTATCACATTATGTGTCCATATGGAATCCAATATCCATGCAACCTAGGGTATTTGAAAAGTCAATAATACACCGTTTGAAATTCTTTTTCCTTTTTACACCATTTAGGAAAATTGCCCCAAAAAACGCTGTTGACCCGCTCCAGGCTCCACCAACTATTTTCAACCAAAAATTTATTGTTAGCCATATTGTCAACCATGGTGACTATCACTCCCTTTCTCTGCACTGCCGTAGCAACTACAAAGAGAAGCACATACCCATTAAAATACTGATAATTTACATTAAAATAAAAAATGTTTAGCTCTTAATATTCTCCTTAATAAATAGCATCAAGCCATTTATCCCATGATTCTAATAATTAAGGCATATTCAATAAAATTGTTATTTTAATAGTAGTTAGCTGTTTTAGTAACTGTCTATCTATTCTAGTAATTATCAACTGTTTAATTAGTGTTTCATTGATGCCAATTAGTTGGTATCCTCTCAATCACAGTTGTTTTTATCAATTTTGTGGTCAAGAGAAGGGCTGCTCTTGTTGTGAATCCGTTTGTTGAACAGGTTGATACCTTATTTGATATGATTTTGTAAAAATTTTTTATTCCACTAGAAAGGCATCCTATGGCATTATGTGTGTCACGACCCATTTCCATGGATCGGACCGGCACTAGGACCTGGGTGGGCTTAAGGCCCCCGAAGCCCGTAGTAAGCCTATATTATGCAAATCTCATCTCATTTACTATTCCATAATGTGGGATACATGCCTAATATTTTATTTCAATTATGTTCAATAGTACAGTTCTCTCACCACTGAATCAATTGGCGGACTCTACCTGTTACATTTCATCTCATTATATTTATCGTTTACATTCTTCTATACCTTTGTCGTCAACTCCATAGATTTTTCTTTCTTCCTATTACCTGGAAAAAAAAAAGTAGGCAGGGGTGAGCGCCAAACTCAATGAGTAGGGTTAGATAAACCTTTCAACCACCACACAATCCAATACAGGAATGCTAAATATTTTTATTTTGTTTATCAATTTAAATTTATGATCATGCAATTTGTTCCACCACGAATGGCAATACAACAGCAATCACAGTTATTATCAACCTTCATTATAATCACATTCACGTGGAAATTAGTCCCAGTGGCAAACCACCGCACAACCCCAACGAGTGCCGTCCTCACAACAAATGGACACCTCCAGATACCAGTGAACGAGAGAGATTGGACCCAACCAGGGAGCCGGATCCCCCATCCGGCCCCTGGTCTAGATCCCTCACTCGACCAGTCCTCTCATTGTTTTTTCCATTCTCTCTTTTCTTTTCCCATAACCACAGGAGGCAACCCGGTGGGTCTCCATCCAATCTAGATCATCCATCCAATCTAGATCATCAAGTGCTCACCACAGGAGGCCACCCTGCGGGCTACAATCAAATCTAGATTATCAGGTGCGCAACAACAAGAAGCCATCCTGTGAATTCCCATATAATCCATATCATCAGGTGCACACAGGGGCGCCGATCTCCCATTTTCCTGGCCGACGGTCAAATATCATATCATATTTAGGATCCATATCACAGACCGTCCTCACAAACCCATGGTGGTCCACTTCATCCCAATTCAACACAAACAAAGCATAGCATTATCACAACACAATTAATCAAACATTGCAATTAATTGCAGACATATTGATCAGTTGAACATCTAATGCAATGCAAAATTAGACACCATTCTCAAATGCAATTAAATAATTAAATCTTCATATTTCACTATCCGCCCGGCTTCCTACTCACAACCCATGTGGTCCCACTTCAATCCCAATTCCAGCAACAAACAAGGCATAGTAATGTTCAATAGCACAAGTAATCAACAATTTTTAATATCAACAAAATAATGCATCATATATGGCAACTCATAAATTAATGCATGAATAACATTTAGCCGTGAATGGCATGAATGCAGGCGGATGGTACTAGTTATCTAACACTACTCACTGTTCTTTATTGTCCTCTAAAGGGAACTGCTTTTTTCAGCCACAAAAATCCTTCGAGCCTTTGTCTTCGCATTTCGGAGTTTTATAAACCTTCTAATAAACATATAGAATTTCTTAAGTTGAAGATTTTCGATTTATATCCGAAAGAATATATTTCAGTATTTCGATATATGCTATATACCTAATATTTGAGGCTATATAATTAACAAGACTCGATACATTATTATTAGAATTTATCCCATATAGAATTAAATAATAAGGAAATCTTCAAGTAATAATAATTAGGTATTAAATTATATATATATAATATAATTTATAGACATACATTGGGTTTCCTCATTTATTTATCTATTCTAATGTATCGCCTTTAAATAAAAGGTTTAGTTATTTGGTTTAGTTATTTGTTAAATAAGATTTTACGATCATACTAATCAAAATATTAGTATTACGAATAATAATAATAATGATAATTTTAGTCGGCATTTAATTTATTAGCCTCTATATAAATTCATTACTCTTGTTTATTTATTTATTTGTTTATATTTTTCAGATAAGTGCCGTTAGTAAATTAATGTTCCATAATAAATTTCGACAGCACTTCCCCTATAATTCAACTATCCACCAATTAACTCAGTCAATCATTTTATCAAGTTCTAACAACCCATCCATCGGTCAATCAATCAATTTAACTTTTCCCTTCCTCCATCCGAACGTCTATATCCACACTACCTTACATCCATAATTTATAATTTAATATTACCTACCAAATAATCTACCTTAAATCCACATTTAAATTCCACAAATTTATTATTATCAAATTTATTATCAAATTTTCCTATAATTTTAATGTAATACTAGAATTAAATTTTAATTAGTCCAAATATTTAATTAATCAATAGATCAACACTAATTTAAATTAATTTATCTTACTCCAGTTTACTTAAATTAAATTAACTAATCGAGATTACTTAAATTAAAATCAATTAACTCAAGATTACTAAAATTATTAACCACAATTAATTAAATTAAAAATTAATTAGTATAAAAATTACTTAAAATTAATTAATTAAATTAAATTAATTAGTTAAAAATTAATTCAACTAATCAAACTTGCTAAATGAAATTATTAGAATTAATTTATACCCCGAAATTTAGAAATTTCTGTCGCAGGTTGCTAGATCGGACTTTTACACATGCCGGATCGAAACTACGCGCGCTGGAAGCGGCTGGACCACCTGAGGCCGACGCATGAGGGGCTGAGTTGCAGTGGTGGCGCGATCTGGTGGCGGAGTAGCTGGCGGTGCAATGGCAGGCGAGACAGATCTGCTCCTGGTGGTCGGAGGCGCGCTGGAGCTGCAACTGAGCTGAGGCACGACTGACATGTTGAGGCGCTGCTCCTGCCGACGGTGCTCACCTGGACAGAGGCTAAGAAGAACGGCGAGCAAGAAAAAGAAAAGGAAAAAGAGAGGAGGAAGTGGTGGCGTAATGGTGCCGCTGGAGGTGTTGTAGAAATGGTGAGGGAGAGGGAATGGGATAAGCGTGGAGATAAAAAGAAAGAGGGCTTCTAGAAGGTTTGGACTGGTTCGATTCAATTCTGATTCGATTCAGCTCAAATCTTGGTTTTTCGTTTGATTTTTGATTTTTCAAATGGTTTTTGATTCGGTTTATCACTGTACGAATTATTAATTTGCATTTAAATAATTAAATACATTTCCAGGCTGTCAGTTTATTAAATTAAAATGGAAAATCTTTGAAAATAAAAATTCGATTTATTAAATTAAAATGGAAAATCTTTTGAAAATAAAAATTCGGGTTGTTTCAATGTGCCTCTAGATTAGGTCTGCGTTTATGCGGGCTCAGCCACCTTGATTCATTTATGAAACTTCCTGTGATAATACGATAATATATACTTATATACAATTTTGTGTGTTCAATTACTAAAATTTTCATATTATTTTTTAATTTAATAGTATTTTTTATAACAAAAACATCACGTATCATATGACCAACAACCACATGGTTTTGTTTTTTCAATCATTAACCATTATTCAGTAATAATTAACTACTGGAAATATTAATAGGTACCTTGCTGAACTGGATAACATCATAATGTGACGAAAGGCTCCATTAAAAAATTTAATTAATGCATAATAATATGAAAGATATCCGTATGTCTTCCTGATTGAAAAAGATATATATAAAAAGAAAAGCTTCCAGTGATTTCATTGCCTCTGGGACAAAAGCATTTTCTTGTTATGGTGTGATCATCTCAAAGAGTTTTCTATTCGTCCGATTACTTCAATATGTTCTTTCTCAGTGGCATTTCCTTCTAGCATCAGGACAAACGTGTTAAACATTTATCCATTTTGTCAAACATTTTTTTTTTAATTCCCAACTGGTATTTTTATACATTTTTAAGTATGTGACTAATTTCATTTCGGTTTTATAGTTATTCCTTCCTACGAGTATTTTTCTATGTGTTGCCTTTTTACATTAGAGATATTACGCTGAATTCAAATATACATACATTATCACGTGTAAAATATTATTATTCTGTCCATTATGTGCAAAGAGCCAAAAAGTTTCTTGTTGTAAAAGATAAGTTGAAAGAGGTGTCTAAGCTTGGGTTGGCTTGCACGCCATATTAGTTGGCTGCTCCTTTATATATATTGGCGTGAGTTTTCACATTTTCGTCAAGAAAAGGGCACCAATAACAGAATATACTGTTAACTATCTTGCAGGTTTCTTCTGCTTTTATATTCTTCTCTTCTTTAAAGCTTTCTTTATATTGCTAGCTGCTCAGCAATAGCAATGGAAATGGGCGACGTTCTTTCCTCTTCTTCTCCATCTTCGAAAAGAAAATCTTTGCCCATCTAAACTTCCTTCAAGCTTCCTTCTCCATTGCCAACATGGCCACCAGGTACCTTCACATCTCTCTTTGCTATATCTATAGTTCATTTTTCACAGATGAACTCTGCATCTCTATTAACTGATAATATATGTATACAGGAGATGGGTTTGGAAATGGAAGCATTGACCTTGGTGGATTGCGAGTGTGTCAGATTTCATCACTCAAAAAAGTTTGGGCCACCCATGAAGGTGGACCAGATAACCTTGGTGCTTCTTTCTTTGAACCCTCAGAAACCCCACAAGGATTCTTTATGTTGGGTTGCTATAGTCAACCCAATAACAGATCACTTTATGGGTGGGTTCTTGCAGGGAAAGATGAGGGAACTGCTCAGGAAATTTTAAAGAAGCCACTTGATTACACCCTTGTTTGGAGTTCTGAGTCTCTGAAAATCAAGCAAGATGGCCTTGGCTACATCTGGTTACCCACGGCCCCTGATGGTTACACATCTGTCGGCCTTGTTGTAACCAATGTTCCTGAGAAGCCTTCCCTCGAAAAACTACGCTGCGTTCGATCAGACTTAACAGACCAATGTGAGATTGATTCTTGGATATGGGGAATAGGTAAACAAAGTGATCCAAATGGGTTTAACGTTTTCAGTTTGAGACCCAGCAATAGAGGGACACAGGCTATGGGTGTCAGTGTGGGAACATTTGCTGCCCAAAACGGCAATGCTACTTCTATTTCTGTTGTTGCTTGCTTGAAGAACGTTAGCTCCCATAATTTATCTTGTATGCCTAATTTAAATCAAATCCAAGCAATTTTGAATGCATACTCTCCCCGGATATATTTCCATCCAGATGAAGAGTATCTTTCATCTTCTGTGAGTTGGTACTTCAACAATGGGGCTTTGCTATATATAGCTCCCATAATTTATCTTGTATGCCTAATTTAAATCAAATCCAAGCAATTTTGAATGCATACTCTCCCCGGATATATTTCCATCCAGATGAAGAGTATCTTTCATCTTCTGTGAGTTGGTACTTCAACAATGGGGCTTTGCTATATACAAAGGGAGAAGAATCCAATCCTGTGCCCGTTGAAGCAACAGGCTCGAACCTTCCCCAGGGAGGTTCAAATGATGGTTCTTACTGGCTGGACCTTCCTGTGGATAAAGGGGCCAAAGAGAGAGTCAAGAAAGGAGATTTACAAGAAACGGAGGTTTATTTACACATCAAACCAATGTTGGGAGCAACCTTCACAGACATAGCTGTGTGGATATTTTGTCCTTTCAATGGTCCTGCCAAGGCCAAAGTTGGCCAAAAGTTAAGTTCATAAGGGGCCAAAGAGAGAGTCAAGAAAGGAGATTTACAAGAAACGGAGGTTTATTTACACATCAAACCAATGTTGGGAGCAACCTTCACAGACATAGCTGTGTGGATATTTTGTCCTTTCAATGGTCCTGCCAAGGCCAAAGTTAAGTTCATCAATCTTCCTTTAGGAAGGATAGGTGAACACGTTGGTGATTGGGAGCATGTGACATTAAGGGTCAGCAATTTTAATGGAGAGTTGCGGGGAGTTTTCTTCTCTCAACACAGTGGAGGGTCTTGGTTCGACGCCTCAGAGCTTGAGTTTGAAAATGGCAACAAACCTATAGGCTACGCATCATTGCACGGACATGCCATGTACTCGAAACCAGGTCTGGTCTTACAAGGGAGTAATGGAATAGGAATAAGGAATGATACTGCTAAAAGCAAAATGGTGTTGGACACTGGAACAAGATTCTCCATTGTTGCAGCTGAGTATCTCGGCACGGCTGTCGTTGAACCACCATGGCTCAACTTCTTCGGGAAATGGGGACCCAATATTACTTACGACATTGCGGCTGCGTTTAGAAAGATTATCAATAGCCTACCAGATCAAGTTTTCGGGGAAGAAGGGCCTACTGGTCCTAAACTGAAAAGAAATTGGATTGGAGATGAAATTTGATTTAAAAACTAAAACCACTTTTTTTAACACGTGTCTCTGCTGGTCCTATTAATTTGGTTAATCCGGTTCAATTTGTTATCTAATACGGTTTGAAAATATTAAAACTTAGAATTCGATTTTTCAACAAAAAGACTAAACAAACAGACATGCACCGTTTTTTTTTATTAAAAATGTAAGCTTTAACATATTTTATCCTTATCAACAAAAG